ATGATTCTGATTGGAGACAGAAAGAGCAAGCAGATGACTGAGTAATTGACCATTTGCAGAGGTTTTTCCTAGTGGCAAGAGTGTTGTTTAGGTATTTGATGGTAAAGTTGTAAATGATTTTTGGCAACTTTTGCTGGACACTAGACCAAAGTTGATTAGTTCCCTTAGAAGCAAATTTTAAGATGCACGAGATAATAAATCCTTGAGATGTAAGAAAATATTTTCAATGCGGTTTTCGTGTTCACTTTGGATGGATTTGAGAACTTGTTTGGTGTTGCGATAAACGTCATATTGTATGTTTGTACCAGTGCTAGAGTCTTTCCATAGCGGATCAGTTGTTTGGAGGCGGATCAGTTGTTTGGAGTGATGTATGCTACCCAGATGATGTTGCAGAGCTGGTGAATAACGAAATGGTGTCTACCGATGATGAAGGCAGGGCAAATCTAATTGATAGACAGGACATATAGCCTGACAATCTGACATTCAAGCTAATGTTTGCTTTCTCAACGGATTCTGGTAGTAGGGAGTTCAGGCTTTCATAATCTGCCAGGTGACTTTTTGGAAAATGCCTGGATGTCACGTCACTGATGACGTCTTTTAACGGTAAAAAGTCAGACAAAATCATCGTTAGCTCCTCACTGAAGGGTTATTTTTTAACGAAACTTACATATTTTGACTCGTCTCATTGCAAGATTTCAAATGATATATATTTAAGCAAGATTTGCCGACATAAGTATTTTCATTATGACGTCATAACAAATTTTGCATGACGTCATCAGATATTTTATTGTCATAAAATGATACGTTAGCATAATTTTGTTTTAATATGACGCTGGCTGTCAGCAAAAGCTTTTCTTCCATATGTTTTTCAATCAAAATAATTAGTATTTAGTTCATTTAAATTGAATTTGTGCCAACCGCAATTGCCAAAGTTTAAATAAAGAAGTCGTTACTATCTGACGAGTGAGTCACTTCTTCCTCCGAAGTAGCAAAGTCTTGCTCCCACTTTGAACCGGACAATGATTTCTCTGCATCCGCATTTGAATGTTACACTAAATCGGAAGAATGTCTTGGCAATATAGGCTATCCAAGATGTCCTACCGATGTGCTGAAGGTGCATGACTTTTTTTCAATAAGGCTATCTTCTGCTGCGAAGTAAGGCCATCTCATAAATAAAATACTCCATCTGGCATTTTTCTGATGGTGGATTTATATATGGATTTGGCTCCTTGCACATGAAATTAAGAAGAACAGCTTTATCTCCTTGTCACAGTACACCTTTAGGAGTTGCAAGCCTAGAGTTATGGTTTTGATGGGATATGAAAATGCCTTTTCGATAGAGGCAGCCTTGCCAATCACGAAAGCTTGGTGGTCTTCGTTCATTATTGAGACTGCTTTCGCTCTTTTCTTGGATCTTTGTGCCCCAGAATGCAGCTTAAGGTTCTGACTAAACTTTCGTTGCCAGCAACAACCTACAATTCGAGCAAAATAGCTCATTTCTTCGAGATATTTCTTCTATGTTAGCGCTAGTGTCATCAGTCCGTGAGAACATTTTGTAAAAACGCCACCAGAAAACGCCAGATGGAGATTTGATGAGACGGCCTGAGTTCGTAGCATCAAACCCAAGGAAACATTCAGTGTTTGGTTCAAGAACATTCATGGATGTGCTAATCCTCCTTATGAGGCTAAAGCAATGAAAGTGGAAACAAAGTCAACGCTAAATATTTAGAAACAGCACACGAGCAAGCAAACGGCAAAAGAGAGTCATCAAGGCAAGTGCATATAAAAAGTGGAGAGCAAAAGATACTCCAAAGTAAGAACAGTATTTTTACATTGATGAAAAAAAGAGAATCTTATGAGATTTGCTCCCGAATTCTTTCAAAGCGCTGAGGGTCACAGGCCCCTGACAATTCAATTTATCATAGCTTAAGGAGGAGAAGCATCGGAGACTTCAAAAAGCAAGTAGAAGTCCCTCCAAGATGTAACCACAAAAAGGCGGAAACCAGAATATTTTGCATGGTAACTTGAAAGATGCAAAAGTAGTTGCTGTTGCAAAAGATACTGATTTGTGTGTGCTGCTTGTTCATGCAACACAGAAGTGCAAACCCACAAATTAGTGGTTTATGTGCATAAATAACAAACAAATCGTCAAGATTTGAGGCATCGCTGAAACTTTTGGTTCCAAAATTTGCTGTATTTTATCACAGATTAATGGAATTGTGGGCTGAGACAACTGCATATAAGCACAACATTGATAAGGTTACTGTGAAAAAAGCTAACGAAGAACCAGAAACAAGTCATCATTAAAAGTCTCTCCGAAGGAGTTATCGCAAAAGCAAAGACATTCGCGAAACAGCAGTATATAGTGGAACAACATATAAAAGCTATTTAGGGACAAAGATATTTATCAAATCTGAAAAAATCATCTGCAGCAGTTCCAGCAGATCCATAATCACTCAATCAGAAAAGAATTAAATTGTATCAACTTAACAAGGTTATTTGGACTACACTGTTTGGGTGCAACTACTACAAGACATGTCCCAAAAGCCTGGTGTTGAAATTTTGACGACATACTCGACCGTTTAAAGTCTAAATGGTTTACAGAAAAGCAACTTCCTCATCTCCGAGAGCTTCCTTCACATCACAAGAATATGAAGGTGACGCAGGAGATGAATTTGCCCATGAAGAAAATCATACACTTTCATACCCAGCGCTAAAGACCTATAGTGGGAAGACATCTTGGACAGCCTATAATAGTGCGAAGATATTTTCCGACTTAGCAACAGTCAAATGCAGATGCAGAGAAATAATTGTCCGGTTCAGAGTGGGAGCAAGACTTTGCGACTTTGGAGGAAGAAGTGACTCACTCGTCAGATAGTGACTACTACCTGTTTCGAACTTTGGCTATTGCGGTTGGCACAAATTGAATTTAAATGAACTAAATACTAATTATTTTGATTGAAAAACATATGGAAGAAAAGCTTTTGCTGACAGCCAGCGTCATATTAAAACAAAATTATGCTAACGTATCATTTTATGACAATAAAATATCTGATGACGTCATGCAAAATTTGTTATGACGTCATAATGAAAATACTTATGTCGGCAAATCTTGCTTAAATATATATCATTTGAAAGCTTGCAACGAGACGAGTCAAAATATGTGAATTGCGTTAAAAAATAACCCTTCAGTGAGGAGCTAACGATGATTTTGTCTGATGTTTTACCGTTAAATGACGTCATCAGTCACATGACATCCAGGCATTTTCCAAAAAGTCACTAGGCAGATTATGAAAGCCTGAACTCCCTACTACCAGAATCCGTTGAGAAAGCAAACATTAGCTTGAATGTCAGATTGTCAAGCTATATGTCCTGTCTATGACGGCAATGATAGCGAAAACGATTTTGATGAAGATATCATTGATTTTTACGATGCGTTATCGAAATAAATCCATAAAAGATATATTTTTTATACATATGATGGAGGAAACTGATTTAATTAGATTGATAGATGATTTATAGTATAGTTAAATTTCATAGCGGCTAATGCTCAAGAGCGGTATCTGAATACGAGACTCTGTTATGAAGTGGAGCCAAAATGACCCACGAAAGGTCTTAGAATCAGTACGCCATAATTACCCTATTGCGCTAAATTTGGAAAAATTTCTTAATTGGGAGCAATATTATCAAGCCACTTCCGTCTTTTTTGAGTGAAAACGAGATTCAAGCGTTGAATTGAGGCCAAACGCCCACTTATATGTCCTTATAATATCGAATTTTGGAATTAGCATCCCAAATTTTTTTAGATCTAATGAATGTCAGATATTTCACCGAAGAGTGAACCCTTAGAAAGCAACTGCCTTTATTTTGATTGAAAACGAGACTTAAGCATGAGGCTGAAGGCCCTCCAACTTGCCCGTATAACATCGATTTTCGAAATCAGCACCCTAAAATTACCCAATCCCACTTTATTAGAATTTTTTCCCCGTGGGGGGACGCTACCCCCATTCTCCGGGTCTAAATGGCCGTATGGTTTGCGACTTTGCCAGTCGGCGAATAAAGGCCATTGTTCTTCTTCTCAACCCCCTCAAAAACGGTTGGGGCTTTATTAATGGATGCTTTGCGATTGGCGCACCGAAAGCCCAAAAATAAATGGTCCAAATTATGAAAGAACGCCACACACAGTTTTATGATTGACAATGGAAAAATATTCTGAAGTCCATCTTACCCTTATTTGGCAACGGTTTTTGTTTGGTAACCTGGAACAAATATTAAGGGCCCGAAAACCCCAAAATTCTATTGCATATGTAATCCTATGTTGTTTATGTTTAAAACACTAGGAATTATTTTACCAGCATACACAGCGATGTAAAAAATCTATTTTTGCCTTCAATTTTGGAGCAAAGGAGTTTCAGAAACGGAAACAGTGCATAGACCAGGACCCCTCCTACCTACTGGCGGTCCTCGTGATGGTTGTCATAGTGATGTAAGCTCACAACACAACAAACTAACAAAAGCACCTTCATCACTATCAGTGACATTTACTTAAATGTATTCAAAATACAATAAGAATACCATAGTTTGATTAAAATGCAATACATATTATATTTGACTACAAACTGGAGCAACACCCTAACTCTAACTCAATGGTGGCTATATCTGTAAGGGGTGGCTCTAATGGGTTGAATGAGGGTTTGAGGTGTATAGAACATTCTTGCCTGAGAATAAAAGATTCAACGGTTGTAGTAATATCTGTGTAATGGCAAAACAATGCTGAATTCCTTTTGCATCCTATTTTAGAAGGTACTCATGTTTATCTAACGAAGAAGGAGGGGTTGTTCAAAGTAAGGTGCGGCGGGGGTTCATTTCAAAATGTAAAAAAATCTCCGGCAGAACAAAGACTAAACTGATTTATAACAATTCGAACGATATGGATTCTTGAGTCTGCAAAGAATCATCTTGAAAATAACCTTGTTCTTGTGTAAGCTCAGTTTGCATGATTATATTAGCTGTGCAGCTTGTTCCAGTGCTATTGATTGGGCGATTGCAGCTATCCTCTGTAACAACACAGATATACTGCAATATTGCAATAAGAGACACAACCCCGCCAATTCGATGCACCAATGGTTATATACGTGACCATTTCCTTCTGAATCTAATCTGATGTCTGGACGGCCCCAGCGTGACCAGTGGCTCCATCTTGTCCATGCACGTGTTGTCGGTGGAGCAGACCAACTTGACCAACTTGTTCCGCTGCCTTTAATACAAAATAATGATTAAGTCTTGGAGGAAATCTAAAAATTAAGTTAGAAATTTCTACAAAGAGAAAATTCTCTAATGAATCCCAACAAAAAGATTTACAATTGTGATCCAAATAGAGAAGAAAGCATTTAAGTTATCTGAATTTTGCAACGATATCTTCTAAACAACATTATGTTTCTGAAAATGCATGCAAATACTTTGTACGTCTGGACTGAAGAAAACTCGATGAACAGCTGATGTTTTATGATGCATATATGATGTTTGCTTGTCAATCTCTGATGCTTAGTGTTGCATACACGATGCTTATTGATGCATACCTGATGTTTTATGATGTTTTCCGGGTGTTAAGACCTGACGTTTGCGTGATGCTTGCTTAAAAATAACTAATGCTTGCTGATGCATTTCTGGCAACATTTAATAATAGTTTTTTCAGGGCATTTTTTAAGAATTTTCCACTGGCGGGGCATTTGAGAAAAGGGCATATAGATAAAGGTAGAATTTACAGATAAACAGGCTTTCAAAAATATTCTAGGGGAATCGCCTATAGAAGCAGCAGTTCCAGGGAAAAATGAATTGAGATTTGAAACCTGTTCAATGAAGATTTCATCCACCAATATCTCAAATGAAGTAAAAAGTAAAAAAGTCACCGAATCATAAGGGCACTTAATTCGCGGGGCAAATAATTCCACTGGTGGGGTAATGAAAGTGGCTGGTGGGGAATTTCCCCACCACTTTATATGTTAAAAAATGCCCTGGTTTATTTAAAAATAAACAGTTAAACATAAAAAAGGTAACATTATATTAGATATCAAACATGCAGGTTAAAAGATGGCCTCAGCTGACAAAAACCATATTTCCAAGGAATCATCTATACGAGCCATCCATAACAACTATTGGTTGAAACAGGCTAAGGTCCCTCAATTTCAGGACCAGAAATTTTTAAAGGCTTAATGAATGAAAGAAGATCTGCAGAAGATCTGGTCTAATTCAAAAGATTACATAAAAACAAAGACGGTGTCACTTGTAAATGTTTTGTATGCAAAATTAATTTATTTTATTGTAGATTGGTATTTAAAATATTTTTGGTGGTACAAAACTCGAAAATGGCTTTGAAAAAAGCAAAGACTCTTCGGAGTTTCAGACGAAAAGCTTTAGTTTACTAAATGTTTGCTTTTTTCAAAGCCAAATTTAAAAATTCTTAAAAAAAATTACTTTGTAGATTTTGCAAATAATCGAATTAGACAAGTTACTGCATTTTAGTCTGAAATTATTTTCCATGTAAAAGAATACCACAAACAAACAAACAAACGATTTGGATTTTTTTGAAAAAGTACGTATCGTTTGATATTGATCAAAATATATATGAGCAATAAAAGTGCAAAGTTTTGTTATACTAACCATATTCAATGTAACCAAGAACAAAACCTCGATTATTGTTTCTTCCATAACGACCCGAATCGTAGTAGAAGTAGACATTTGATCTGGTTGTCGTGTAAGATGTAGGCTGTACGGAATAGCAAAGCTTTCCACTGATTGAACTGGTGTAGTAATTGACGGAATTCTGATCAGTGTAGAAGCTTGAGGAATCTATGCACGAAAAAGATACAAGTGCGACAGTTTTGTTAAACATAATCATAACCAAATGAACATTGACCCATTTAAGCATACTTACTACGGGGATGAATTTGCCTATACCCGTGATGTCCTATTTTAAATTTTGTATAAGAGTCTATACCACTAATATTTTGACGATCCTTTAATGTCGATGCTACATCCGGTTCCTTTCAAGGCCATTTCTGCAAGAATATATTTCGAAATGAAAACATTATTAACCTTGCATCGAAAACACATTTATGTAAAATCAATTTGAGAGTTGAATCATTTGAAAATGCATCGTTTCCGTTTGGATGTAAAACGTTTCATTCGTTTTCATTATGAAGAAAACGCAAACGTTTGAAAATGTATGTGCTTAGATATGGCTAGACCAGCTCACATGATGCTGCGCACAAATAATTACCATGCAATCTAATGCTCTCCCCATTATTAATGCCAAAAAGGAGGCGCGACAAAGGGCATCTTGAGTTGAGAAGGCTCGAATAAGAAGGAAGGAAGGAAGAACCGCAGGATAGGCTGTCCGCCGGATTCTGTGAATCTTGCAATGAGATTTTAAAATATAAGGAATACAGGAACAAAGCAATACGACGACGAGAATCCAATGTCACGAAAAAATTTTTCAAAATAAATTAAATTTAAGAGTATACTAATATTTAATTTATTTTGAAAATTTATTTCGTGACATTGGATTCTCGTCGTCGTATTGTTTTGTTCCTGTATTCCTTATATTCGAATAAGAAGTTGTCCTCCGCTTTATATAGACAAAGAACTGGCCCAAGCTGACTTCCATTAGACAAGGCTATGATGCCAATTAATCGTCCATATCAAAATAGAGTGCTTATCAACCTTCAAATTCTCCGCAATTCTCCAGTTAGGACACACGATTCTGCAGAGACTTTCAAATTTCAAAGTACCGTCTGGAGTATGCCAAAATAGGATTTTCCTATTGAACTCGTAAGGTCCTGAAAAAACTCCCTTTACGTTACGTATCTGAGAACTTCGTACCTCGCCGTAATTCAAAAAACGTCTAAAAATACAGTGCAGCAATGGTTTTTAACCTGGAGCGTTTTTCTTGCTTCTTTACAACATGAATTAACTATATATTTTTTAGTAGGATTGATACCAAAAGAAATATTGTATATAAATAAGAAATGAATAAAATATTGATAAATAATGCATGTATTTTTAGGTTCTGCTTTGTCAGCGAACGCTTTATTCGTCGTAAGCTTGCTTGCATTTCGAGATACAGCGTGATGTTCACATAGTTTTTTACCTAGTTTCCATTCATATCATTAGTGTGGTGCTCGTTGTGAAGTTTAGATCAGAACCGTGCTTAGTTGTTGATGATTATCCACCGTTGTAGCAAGATACACAAAACGTTACAAAATGTCAGGAGCGTCTGAATGTTAGATAATTAGAAAAAATTCTTTTTCATACCTTTAATTTCCAGATAATTGTTATCATAGTAACAAGAATGTCCGGAATTGTAAAAATCCAAATCCATAACAGCGATTTTCATTTTGTTGTTGCCAAGTTTGTAACTGAAAATACATGGGTTGCTTCTACTTGCATAACCATTTGGCCAACCAACTGAGTAGAAATTTCCTGCTGCTGATCTGCTTGCCTTGCTGTCATGGGAAGGGTAATAAAAATTAGATCTAACTTTGCTGTCTCAAATCGTCCAGATGAGCAGTTAATAGGGAGACGTATTAGTGAATTCATTTTGACCTATATGATTCCCAATGGAATCCTTATGGCCTTTAAGCCCCGGCCAAATGACTCGATTTTTCACTCGATTTTTTTCTCAACAAGAAATTGAGTGAGAAATCAAGTCGTTTGGCTACCTTGTCGAGCGAGTCGAATGGCGTCGAGTGATGTCGAGTGAAGTTTGATCTTTATCAAAAAGGTCGAGTGAAAAAGGTGTTGTCGAATGAAGATCGAATCTTTTGACCACCTTGTCGACTGAGTCGAGTGAGCGCGTGCGCAGTTATCATCTCTAATGCTTAGTTATTTTTAAAAGAACTAGGGTAATATTTTCAAGCGGGGCGGCCAAAAGGGGGGCAGAAAAGCATACTACTCTGGGGCCTCTGGGCCCTGGGACCTTTTAAAGTGATGAATTTCATTTTAAGGATGGAATTCATCAAATGAAACAAGATATGCCTAAAAATAGTAATTTGCTCAAACAAAATAAAACATTTAATGACTGTTACTGCATGAAAAGAACGACCAGGGTCCGGTGACGCTAGAGTTCGTCAAGAGAATGAAAAAGGACATTTGCATGTAAGATAAGCACGGCAGCGGCTTTGCGCCACTTTGTCTTCATTTTGTTGGCGGAGCGAAAAGTCGAGTGAAAATCGGGCGAAAAATGGAATCGTTTGGCCATCCATGCTCGACTTCGCTCGATTTTGAGATCAAATGTCGAGAGAAAAATCGAGCAAAAAATCGAATCGTTTGGCCAAAGCTTTATGATGTTTAATGGATATCTGACGATACAGCAAACAACGAGCAGGGTTCTGCGTACGAAGAATGAGTACACTGTGGTGGGTCGAAGGAAGCGTATATACATATGTTTATATATTTGAATCATTACGACCTAAGGCAATCGGAAAACTGAAACTACGGTGCTGATAAGTCTTTCTTCTATTACCTTATCAAACATTTATCAATGCATTCATCAGACATTTATGCAAAATTCTGCATAACAAAAACGGCGATTTTGTCCTCCTTCAACACTAAAATTTGTGGTTTTATGAACAAATTGTTATGACAGATTTATACGAATTAAAGAAGCAGCTTCTTGCATCAGACCAAATGTCAAGTTTTTTGTGTTATCTCCAAATCTTTGCATAGAAGATGATATTGTTTCTGCAATGCCAAGAATTAAAATATGAATTTCAATTCGTAGCAATCCTTTGCTGAAAATCCCGAAATGGAGAAACTTATGCAAGTTTAAATACAAGAGGTTTTATGAGTATAAACATAAATTTCATAAATAAAAGCATCATTTTTTGAATGTTTTTTAGAAATCTTTTCCATCCCCATAGAATTTTCAATCAGCATCTTCTTTTGATAGTTTCTTGAAGTCATAATTTGTCATAAACCTGTAAATATTATACAATGTGAAATTTGTCATCAAGAATACTCACGGACATGTTGATGATGGTTGGCCTCCAAGAGGTGCTAAAGATTTGCTTTTCAGCTGATATGTCAAAGAAAATCCACTTCTGATAACAGAACCATCTGACACAAACTTGATAAATACATAACCATCATGGGAGTACATGTTAAACAGCACACTTGATTTGATGTTACCAGAACAGTACTTGCCAATGCTTTTCTTTGACCTAGAAAAAAAGTTGAATGTTACTTAAGTCTTGGGCTCTCTAAGATGTTATACTGTGGATCAAGAAAAATTTTATGTCTTTCTCTGGAAATTGATTTATTGGATGGTGAGGTCATATACTTCAAAGCAATGTGTCGGAAAAATATTGCACAATTTGTTCAGTATAATTGGATTCGTGTGACCATGTTTCAAACAGAGCAGGAATGTTTCTTATCCTTCGCAGTTCAGGATCCGGCACACGCTCCAAATTTTGCTTGTTGATGCTCACTTTATTCCAAAAAGGCACACTATAAGAACCAAATTTTTCTTAAAATAATTACATTTTCACTTTCCTTTTTTAATGTATTGGGAAGGGCATGCCCCCAGAAGTTAAGTCCTTGTAAATAGATTTGAATTACTAGGTATTATCTGTAAATACCTTTTTAGAGCTGGCAAAATCTTAATAAATCTAAGAAGAAGAATTTGTCTTTATTTCAGACTGAGTAACTTTGTTAAAGCATCGTTTATCTTTAGCAATGATACTAATTGGGGGCACTGATGTTAAAAGGATCGGGGTATGTAGAAATGCACTACACAATTGCCCTAACCAATAACACAGTTTCCTCTTGGTGTTTCATTCCTGAATTTTCGAGAAAAAAGCAATGGCGGCGTGGCAAAATGAAGGGCCCTGGAGCACTTTTTGAAAATGGGCGCACGTAAGTCCCACCCCTTTTTTTAAAAAATCGACCTTGCCAAATCTTGATTCACAATAACAATCAATGCAATTAGTTGTAAACAACATCTTAATTAACAAAACTAGCTAAAAATGTTTTTTTACACAGCACGTAAGTCCAACATCCATTTATATAATAATAACAGACTTCTAACTCTACAGAATTGTATATGACGACAAGCACAAAGCATAGTAACTACCAAAGGTGCCGTCAGAATGAAGAACAATTTTCGAAATTCGATGCTTCTATTTTGCTTGAAATTGCACTCTTTAAAGCAAATTTTCTTTAATTTTGGCAAACAGACTGTGTGGCAGTTAAAAACAACAGGTATGATTTTGCCGTGGTCTTGAAAATACAATGTTTTGCGTTGCTTCTAAAGCAATAATAAAAGCAGCACCAATTGTCAATTAACCCATTTTCCCAGCTTGGAATTCCTTTATGCATGCTAAAAAGGTCTAGAGCTCATTTTGAATTTCAATTGACGCTTCTTCCAAAGGACTGCAAGGAAATGTGACACTGGTGCAATTAAATGTATTACAAGTTGTAACAAACATTCCACAGTAATTCGACCTACAGGAATATCCTTCCGTAATTCTGAGGGCTGCAAGTTATGGCTGTTCCCAGCAATTCTATTTTGCCTGTTATCATTATTATGCGTAAGTTTGAAAAGTTCGATGCCAAAAAATGGATTTAAGTTCGTACCTGGTAAGAAACACTTCGACGTAATCATTACAATTTGGCATGTTCCCTTCTATTGCAAAGGCTTTCCACTGAATTTCTAAATAGTAGCTTGAAGACATCCATGATGGTGATTGAATATTAAACCAACAGTTCTCGTTGTTATTGTAGTAAAAATGGGAAAGAGTTTGCAAAGAAGATACAGCAGTATACAAGGTCTGTTGGCCATTGTAACAACATTGTCCGTTCGTAAATAGAAGCCCAAGTAGTACACTCCAGACTGCGAAATGCATTTTGCTAGTTTAGGCCAATGGTTTCACCTTTCTGCTAGGTTATAGGATAGTGTTGCTAGTTAAACAATCCTTTGTTAAACCACACAATAGAGATTCAATATTCCTTGAAATCGCTAAGACCTTCCGTTTCTGTAGATTCTGTTTCAGATTCAGCTTTGCGAGTCAGTCGCAGTGACAAAAAACAGCTTACTTTACTCGCTCCAAAAATATGTTAATTTCAAAGAAGGTTTGATACTAATATAAGTTCCGTTTCAAATTAGATGAGTCTTTTGTAACGGATGCATCTACGTTTAATTTTCCCCTCAACGGAGGCACCTATCTCAGAATTTTCTAGACCTACTTATGCAGTCTTTATTATGATCCAAGTGAAAAGAAAGAAGATTTGTTTCCTGTAAATGTGACATTATTTGAATTTTGCTTGAGTTAGTTTTCTTGTTCAATCTCTTACGTTTTCCTTTTTGCTGCAATCATCGACAATTGTGCAGTATAAACTGTTTTTGAAATAGAACAAGACGATTTGTAATACTCGTAGGTGCCTAATTGCTGGGGGGGGTCCGAATAAGAGGGGGTGTGTCGGATTTAATGTTCAACATTAATTTGCGGGGGGGGGGGGAAGGGTTCCAATTACCGGGGGGGGTCTACATTATGTAAGTTACATACACTGAATACTCAAAATGCAGTTAAATCAGTACGCTTATTTCACTATTATATAGCTATTATTTATCATCGACAATATTCAGCTTATGTTAGGCTTATTTCACTACAGTAATCAACACATAAATGCCAAAATCAATTGGTGAAGGGTCCTAATAAAGAGGGGGGGGGGCTGGGTTTGAAAAATTTTCAAAAATTAATTAGCAGGGTGGGGACAACAATAAGGCAACCAAGAGTACGACTTTTTCACCACGCTTTCTAGCATTAGTTAAGATGCTGGCAACACTAATACATAATTCCAATGTATTATATTCAATTTTGTATGGCACCAATATGCAATTATATTAAATAACTATTAAGCACCTTTTAGAACTACAATGTTACTGTTTATCAAGGAATTTTTGTTCCTTTCTCTGGAAATTTCATGTCAAAGTGTGATACCTTTCTAAATTTTGATGATATTCAGAAAACTGAATAACAAGTTTAAATTTGTAGAAAATGCTGCACATTAAGCAACATAGAAAGTTAGAATAAAAGTGGGCAAGCAATTTTCAAGTTGAATGAATTGTGTCTTCTGTTACTCTTACTTGCTAACTTCCTCTGAAAGTAGGGTGTTTCAAGCATTTGCGAGTTTAGCTTTCCCCTGAATTAAATTTAATTAGACAATGTTTGAAACTTTATTATAGAAATATGTATCACAAATATGAGAAAAAATCAGTTCTTTATCAATGACAAAAATCGGAGCTGTGTTTTTAGATCCAGTAGAGCAGGGACGTAGGCACTAAAACCCCCAAAAATATCTGTAACAGAGGCATTATTTTGAGAAATTATCGTCATTCTTTATTTAAGATGTGGAATCTCTGGTTAGAAATAAACTATTTTTCTGTGTTATGGCAACCACGTCATGGTGTCAAGCTCAAAACATCTACTGTTGAAAACCGCTACAAATGTAAGTGACTTGTGTTGAGTAGGTGACTGTAAAAAACACACAATATTCCTGACATGAAGTTGTTTTAATGAAATAGACGTTATAAGATTCTGTATGTATGTGTATCATTTGCGACAATATTTACAAATATTTACAAGTTTTAGAAGAAAAAAAGATACAATACAGTATACAATACTAAAAACGTGAAAATAAGCATTGCTAATTACAGTGGCAGAGATAGCATTAAAATGTTAAGCTGATCATATTTCCATAATCATCCTCTTAAATGCGATGGTATGATCTAAATAAAAAAATGTCCTTTTGATCTTATTTTTGAACGTAATAATGTTAATTGTAGATTTTAACTAAGATGGAAGAATGTGGACCAATCATGAATTTGTCTATCATCAATTGCACACAATCCCTCAAATCTTATTAAGAAATTGAAAAGCAAATCATTTTATTTATGTAAGGCCTAAATAAAATAAATTTGCTTATTCACTCAAACTTTATTTCTGACATAAGGAAAACTTTACATAGTTATGGCTTTCTATAACAAACATTTGATTCCATTTGACCTCCTTTCTAGCAAGGTACTCTGGTTCCTCTAACAAAGTGGACGGTGGGGCGGGGGCTAGTTATAATAAAGAACAGCACGGGTTGTGTCAAAATGTTAATAAGAGTAGGCCTGAGTTTATACGATGGGAAGAGCTCTAATGTCTAAAACCGCTGGAATCCGTTGGAGTGTAAAAAACGGTTGTGAAAAATATATTTTCTTGGGTAGGCTCTCATGGCGTTTGGGTTGATCAGAGTCGATTCAGGGACAGCTGCATTTCTGATTCTATTTATGCCAGATTGACAGCATCCCACGTAACAGCCATAGATCAGTGCAATAATTGAAATAAGAGACACAACTCCACCAATAGATGCACCAAAGGCAATATACTTTGACCGATTTCTTTCTAGATCTAATCTGAGGTCTTGACGGCTCCAGCCTGACCAATAGCTCCCTCCTGTCCACGCACGTGTTGTCCTTTGTGTTGTTGGTGTTGGTTTTTGAGTGGTTGGTGTTATCGGCGTTGTTGGTGTTGTCGGCGTTGTTGGTGCTGTTCTTTTTGTTGTTGGTGTTATCTGCGCTGTTGGTGTTGTCGGCGTTGTTGGTGTTGTCGGCGTTGTTGGTGTTGTTCTTTTTGTTGTTGGTGTTGTCTGCGCTGTTGGTGTTGTCGGCGTCGACAAATTCGACCAGGTTGTTCCATTGCCTTAAATACAAAACAATATATAGCATGCCAGATTGAGAGGAAAAGCGATCCAGATAGAGAGGAAAGGCATTTAATGCTTTCAACAAGTTCTAAAGTTTTCTAAATTTTGCAACGATATCTTTTAAATTAAATCTTTGGTTCTGAACATGACAATAGATATTTTGTTATTGTCTTGACTGAAGGAAAATCTATTCAGTCCCAGACTGGACCTTTTCAAAAAATGTCGAAATAAGGAACTTCGGAATTAAGTTGCTTTTTGATATAATACAGAAGACGGAGCTTTGAATCTTAACTCAAGTTTTGAATATTCCAGATAAGTGAAGCTTCATGGCTGATGAAATGTACAAAAAATAAGCTCTGGCTGGTAGCACAGAATAGAAAATAGGCAAAATGTTGAACAGTTGGTCGGCACTTTTGAAGTTTGCGTGCAAAAATCTCAGGCGGTCAGAGTACAAGGAAACAATAGGCATACACCATAAACTCGTTTTGGTGCAGAGGTTTGCATGACAGATGGCGACCGTCTGACCCAGTTGCTGCGAAGGGCCAAGTGTAGAAGCAAATCAATGATTTGCGGTTCAAATTTATATTACAAACTGTTATTGTCCACTCTGAAAATAATAACGAAGGTTGGTATTTTTATCTATTAAAAGCTTAGCCCGGTTTTGCCCAGCTTCAGGACTAATCAATGCAGTTGAAGTTATTAAAAATAGATAAGAATGGTTTGGACGCAGCCCTCTTCCCCGACAGTTAATGAGTCAGTTAGTTTATCGCTCGCGAAACTATGATCACTTAAACTATAAAAAGAATTCTTGCGTTATTATTAAAAGGAAAATGTCAATTAATGCTACCTCTGATTCAGAATCTCTACAACAAATACAGCACTAGGGCATTATTCGAATCGGTGACAATATCGGTGATAACAATAAATCACTGTTGTTTAGGTATATGATTTCTAGAGGTAAATGCAACATAAACGCTATTTTGGGATGGCAGGTACTCCCATTGGTGTAGCAGGGTTATAGGGGCGCAAAAGAGTTGAATTTTTGACGTGATTATTTCCTACAAATAACGACCAAGGACCAAGGACGGTGTAATATCTTAGTGTTCTGATATTCTAGCAACGTAACAGACACTAAGTTCAGCACACGCAAACCGTTATGCCACTAAGTTCGCATTTAGCAGTAAAACTCGCTCATGCCCAGGGTATCGCTCGTTCATCGGTGCACGAAAAATTCGAGATCCAATTTCTTGCATGCACGTGTTATTTTTGACACTGTGATGGATTTGTATCGTGGAAATCGGCACGTGCGTTGCGGTGCTTGCCAGTTAACGATTTTGCAATATGAACACAGCCTAAGGCTGTCTGGTAATAGATATACACGCTGAACGCTGGATAAAGTTTAACTTCTCATATTAATCAATACACTCATTTTTAATAAGGAACAGGATATAAGAAACAGTAGGCTCAATTTTTCAAAAGTTAAGAAACAACCCTACCCCAATCGAAAAAAGCTAAGAAACTTTTACAATTTGCAGTTTTAATTAGACACTCGAAACATTGAACATCACTGTATATTGCAACACTGCACTTGACATGCAGTTTGCATTCATTCTCAGTAAATTGCGCACTCAAGAAGTTTCCTTTTAAAAATTTGTTTTGACTTCAACTCGACATTGACAAAGTTAAATGAGCTTAAATGTTTACAGATCTCAAAAGAATTGCTCATTCTTCTAAGAACACAAAATACCTTGATCACTTTGTCAGTTTATCTCTGAATGCGAGTGAACTATTTACTTTACCTTGAAAGCACGTTAAAAAATTCATTACCTAAGAAATTTAAGAAACATGGCCAGAAAATTTATGAAACTGCCTACCAGCACCGGACCATAGTTTTTTATAAACGAAATACGTCTAACGATAATGAATATACAAGCAAAGAGGTTTTCAGCACTAACCATATTCAATGTAGCCTATAACGAAACCACGATTCCATTTTCTGCCTATAGTATCAGGTTTGTAGTAGAAGTAAACATTCGGTCTGGTTGTTGAGTAAGTTCTAGGCTGTACTGTATGACAGAGTCTTCCACTGATTGAATTGGTGTACTGACGGATGTCATTCGCATCAGTGTAGAAGTATGTGGAATCTACAAATGAAGAAGTTGTCAGCGTTACCGTAACTGCAACAGCCATATCTACAATTTATCAACGCTAAATGATCATATAAATGAAGATATTACAGAGGCTTACAGAGATAATATAGAGGGAGTACAGAGGCTTAGCCCCTCAGCTGGCTTCCATTAGACAAGGCTGATAATATAAGTTTTGCTATCAACATTTGCTAAACAGATCCTTGTCTCTCCTTTGCCGTCTCGAAAGTTTCTTTGCACACATTTTTCCGTGCATCATGTCATCCCTATACTCCCTCTTATATGTTTCGTAAAGACAGGGTAGTTCTCTGACAGCGTCAATAATGCCCTTGCTGTTAATATTTTTGGCAGCCATTCTCTGTCCTCTTTCGACAACTGTCTGGATTGCAAGTGACACCTTAACATAGGCAGTAAAGGTAGGTTTGCCGCATTTCGTGTTTGAAAACTGCTTTTTGAGCATTTGAAGGTTTTTTTTCAAATTTTCTTCACCTGCTTCTAAAATCTTGAATAGCTATGATTCAATCAAATGAACCTTTCTACAACTTTCATACTCACTCTAGCAAACAAAACATTTAAATATCTGAGAGATCATTTCATGAAGGTTAGCCAGGAATATAAATCCTCCAGGATTGCTTAACCTATTGAGGGTGCTGTTGCCGTATTCTAAACAAACGCCGTATTTGGCACCTTTTATGATGCACAGGCAAAGGAAAAGGAATTTTGAAAAAAACACGAAAGAGTGGAAACAGATCACACTAAAGCATTTTTTCGTCCTATAATTATCGTCGGGTAATATTCAAAGGTAAGCAGAAATTTATATCCAGTTGTGGATCGAAAGCAAAGGGAGAGAAAGGAAAGCATGTTTGATTGGTTCCATTCTTTGACCCTTTTGGGTGCTATCTATTCAGGTTCTAGATCCAATGACCTAGCACAGAGCCTGGCATATTTGTTCTCCGTTATATAAATTATGCAATTACTGTTCCCCGTTATATATAAAGACGACGAAGACGTTCGCGTACCTTTTATATCGAGATAACAGCTTTCAAGGGAACAAGGAGTTCCTCTGTTATAAAAATCTATATCCATGACAGCAATTTGCATGGCGTTGTTGCGTCTAAGTTTGTAGCTGAAAATACAGGGTGTTAATCTCGGTCCATAACCATTTGGCCAACCAACTGAGTAGAAATTTCCTACTGCAGACCCGTTCATTTGGCTGTAATGGGAAGGATGATAAAGATTAGATGTAACTCTGCTTTCTTAAAAAGGGCCTAAATTTATATGTGTTCATTTACCTGTTGACAAGTGTTCAAATTTTCTAGAACATAAGGCTATCTTAAAAACTAGAAATATTGTGTTAGTATATACTTCCCCTTATAACGTCATTAACCAGTTAGGCGCAGGGAAATTGTGCCTTTTTATTAAACTTTGAATATATTTTGACATCATAGAAAAAATATTAGAAAACGCTCTAGGATCGCCCTATAAAAGCCAAAAAAATTTTCTGCAGATATTAAGCCACAAGTACCAGAACTCATTGTAAGCCCTCCTTAATGACGTAATAAAGAAAAGGTCTAGTATAATAGCTTTAAAAGCATACAAATGACTCCTGTAACTTAAGAGACAGAGCTACTACAATAATTTATCCATTCAAGCTTTTGGTTAATATTCTGCATAACATATATACGGTTATTTTGCCGACCTTTAACATCAATATTTGTGGTCTTGCGATAAAAAAGATTTAGAATAAACAAAAAAGCAAAATGCAAAGTTTTTTTGTGTTGTTTCAAATAATTGCCTTGAAGATGGTATTGTTTCTAGTTTCTGTATTGTTTCTAGTTTCTGCTTTGCCAAGAAATAAAACTGGATCATCAATATGAAGAAATTTACTTTAAAATGTCATTTGTTTGATTAATTATTGAAAGTAGCATTACATTATGTTTTGGGCAAAACTGCTGTAGTATAAGCATCAAATTGCACGTGTCTTTGTAGCGATCTTTGCCAGCCCATTAAAAATGTTGCGAGAGTTAAATATTCTTCAGCTGGAAGTAAAAATTTAAATATACAGCGGTTGCCAACATTCAACCAGTATATTCTGATGCTACTTTTCTTAAAAGAATAATTCGACACAATGATCTAATCATGTACAGTGTTACAAAAGCCATCACAAAATTATCCGAACAGTTTCAAATTTGGTTTCAAACAAAGAAAGGCAGCTGATGTGAACATTTCATGACTTTTCTTAAACCTTTTCTTGAAGTTTTGCTTGGCATTTGAACGTTCTATTTTCGAAAAAAAATCATTTTACCACTCCTTGGAGCCCTTTAAGAAAATCTCTGTCCTAAAAGGCGTTCACCAAAAAACTTTGAGATGATTAAGCTTCCGAATCATTAAAATGAAAAGATACATATTAGGAATTAACAATATATTAAGAGTTAAAGCAGATGTTGTTAGATTTTTTTGTCAAGATAGAAGCAACCGAAAATAAAGAATCTGACTTACAGACAGCGACTAGAAATAATGTTGATCACATATATTGAAAAAGCTATCATTGAATTTCTAGCATAACTCGATGCACAAAGGCAACTTTTTTGATATATGCAAAAAGTTTAAAAAAACAAGAAACTTGTTTAAAAACATTCCACTTCACAAAAGCTGTCTGAACAATTCTGTAATCTGCGTATAGGCAATCCCAACCAGTTCTTTTGAGGTTTACATATTCTTTTAGTGTTATTCTCCCACACTTTATGCTCACCTTTATATCACACCCTGCACATTTTATGTCTCGATGGGTCCCATGTGGATTTCTCATCGGGCAAGGATTTACATGTATGTCTCCAAATAAAAATCTTTGCTGATTAGCTGACAAATTCTTTGTTAGTTGGAACAATGATTGACATGCATTTGTGCAGCAGAAAAGAACTCTACTTTTAAGAAACCATCTGCGAATGTTTTCACCATTCTTAGACCAATTCAAAACGAGGGAGGCCTAAAGCTAGTGGGCCCAACTTCAAGTCATGCTTCATGACATAAATGTGACAGAAAACTTTGATGCCTGCTACTATGATATTTTCCATTTGCATTGCGAGCGATTTGTCGTGAAACTGAGTTCGAGAAATAAATAAATTTGTAGGTTTGTATTAACACGCAAAATGGCAACAAATGTTCACAGAAAATTGACCTTTAAAATGCTGATGATAAAAATTGCAAGGAAAGTAATTAAGAATTACAATTTTGAAAAACGACATATCTCCGCCATACAATTCTCTGCCATTAACATATCAAAGCAGGCAACTGCTGAGAGATCAGACAACAAATATACGTGCTGAGGTTGAGCAATATTCTTGAAATATTCTCAAAAATGGATAATTTTGAGCCTGAATATTCCAATCAAAACATCCCTATACAAAAAAGAGTGTGGGCAATATTGGATCAGTAAGTTTTCTACGAGAGGCAAACTGCCGAAAAACCATTTTAGTTTCTATGTTGGGCACATCGACGAAATGCATGCTATCTCATTTTATATTTTTGTGTCGGCGATTTGATACATTCTTCGTAGGTAGTTAAGTTGAATATAATCATCAAACTATTCGGATACATTCGTTAGGGAAGTGTACAATGTGAAATTCGTCATGAAAAATACTTACGCACATCGTGATGATATGAAGCTTGGCTGGCCTCCAAGAGGTGCTGAGTTAAGGCTTTTCAGCTGATATGTTAAGGAAAACCCTCCATTTTTCCCTTGCTTGCCATCTGATACAAACTTGATAATTGCAAAACTATCTCGAGAGTACATGTTAAACGGCACACGTGATTTGATGTTTCCAGAACAGTACTTGCCAATGCTTTTCGATGGCGAGCTAGATAAAACAAATTTGAATGTTAATTAAGCCTTTGACCCTGTCATATGTTTTTCTTTGAATCCTCAGCCAGAGTGCAAGACTTTTTCGAGACTTTTCTCAATGATACTGCTTTTAAATAAATAAAATCGAATAACTGAATTTAGTTTTCAGGGAATGCTGCACATTGAATAACAAACAAGTACAAAAAAAGTGGACAAGCAATTTCGAATTTTCAAATTCATTAGAAATACATTGAACATTTTTACCAAATCAGTTTCATTCATTTTGTTAATTTTGCTGGTCTTCAATATTTCATACTTTCACACAATGTTGGGAACTTATATTGCCTGCTCATTGTGGATGTCTGAATCATAAGGAATAACGTCTACAGGGAAGGTGAATAATCCATCAACGAATCACATGTTGCCTAAAGCCAGGGAACACTCTCCTAAAAAATGACATCTAGCAAAACATGATACCTGATACATGATACATATGTCACTACACTACACTTAGAACAATTATTTGCCAAAAGGGAAATGGTTTTCATTGATGATAGGCTTGGTTGCTTTGCGACAATTTGTATTTGAGCAAGAAGTACTTGAGAGGGAGGGGTCAATAGATGGGGCAAATTATGCAAGGGCCTCGAGGTCTAAGGGGCCTCATAAAGTAATTAATTCTTTTTTCATAGATTTTAGAAAATTTGTCAATCGGAATGGTTCTTATGAGGAGCTCAGATGACACTGTAGTTAATTTTTGTAGATTTACCTATAATTGGCAAAATGATGCTCATGGATTCACCTAAAAACACGAAATCCACAAATATTAGTTCTGCAAACTTAATTATCTTCCATTTTTATGCCATTAATTGCTCTTACTTTGTTATCATTGAATCTGTATATCATAATCCATTTGTAGAAATAGTTAATAAATTTTGTTAATAGATAATAGATAATGTTAATAAATTTTCTATGTAGAAATAGATGGTCAAAACAATATAGTTTGTCACTTTTTCTGAAGTTTGCCCCCCCCCCCAAGCTAAATTGTCTAGGCGCATCACTGGGATCCAGGGATGGTGCTATATTGTGCATGGGGGACAAAAGGAGCCTCCCAATTCAATTAAGTCCCCCCAACAGGATTAGCACTGAAACTAAATTCAAAATTTCTTTGTACTGTCTGCACTTTCAGGACTATAATTATAAACTATCAAAAATTCTAATTAAAATTGTAAAAGAAAAATTGAAGGATACATTTGAAAGATAAACACTAACTAAATATTTTGACTAATGAATTACTGATTTCTGATGAAGAACTTGGTCAAAACGTTCACATGAAGATGTTTTTCTTGAAAATCTATGTTGAACCTATAATTTTCTGGAATTTTTAAAAATCTCTAACAAGGGGGGGTTAGCGGGGGTGTTGTAGCTCCTAGAAAAGGGCCAGGAGAAAATGATCACAAGGGGGACAGCTCATTTGTATGACTTCTCCAATCACAAACCACAGGAAATTTCCTGGTGTCCCACCTAGCCACAAATTCCCTGGAGGTGAGTCATTGATTTTCTCTCTTTCTTTTGACACTAAATTTCCATTGAGCAACATAGCTTGCAATGCCCAGGAAATACTGTGATTAGCAACAAAATTAAACCACGTTATCCATTTTTTTATGGCTTTGACTCCAAGAAGCAAAAGCCCTGTAAAGGAATTTCAAAATCAAGGTATCTAGCTAACTAACAGCTTCACAATGTATCTAATTAACAGTGTATTAAGATTTTGATAGCTTAATAACCAGAGCCTTTACCTACTCTAATACTTTTAGTTGCGGGTCTAGAGCGCAGGCTAATAACCAACCACAAATAGGTCAGGGGAAAATAAAATTCATTAATTTGCAAGGCCCTTAGATCTCAAAATTATTAATTCCTCATCAATTGTAAAGTAAACTTTTTCTATCACTGAACACATTTAATTGGCTATCACAGCATCTTAAAAGTAGGTATATTCTCTACCCTTTATGTTACCTTTGGCCTCCCATAGGTCAGGGGAAAATAAAATTCATTAATTTGCAAGGCCCTCTAGATCTCAAAATTATTAATTCCTCATCAATTGTAAAGTTAACTTTTTCTATCACTGAACACATTTAATTGGCTATCACAGCATCTTAAAAGTAGGTATATTCTCTACCCTTTATGTTACCTTTGGCCTCCTATAGGTCAGGGGAAAATAAAATTCATTAATTTGCAAGGCCCTCTAGATCTCAAAATTATTAGTTCCTCATCAATTGTAAAGTCATTTTTTTCTATCACTGAACACATTTAATTTGTTATCACTGCAACTTAAAATTTGGCATATCCTCTACACTGTAGGTGACCTTTGGCCTTACACAGGTCATGGGACACAAGTAGTTTAGTCACTGGGTTGATCCAATCATTTTCATGGTACCTAGACACATAGTTATTTCAATATTAGATAAACCTTTAACTATTTTATATACAGGCTCTAATATCTCTGTCACATGCTAGACATTGTAGCCACACAAGCACATGCATTTTCTTCCCACCCGCCCTCATCCTGGTTAGGTCCTTATTCTTGTCGCATATTCTGTAGGTTATTACATTGTTTACTACTAAAAAGTGATTTTATTTTCTATATTTGTGTAATTGCAGAAGAATTTTGTTAAATCAGCTTGTTGTATAAAAATATATATTTGTAATTATCTTATCGATATTGACTGATGAGTATTCAACTTAAACCCGATGTTGCATCTTATTGTGTCAGTCCTTATATTTAGTTGTTATGAATGCTACACAAGCAGTATATCATCAAGATTTGATCAATTTTTTCAAGATGTTTTGTTTTGCTTCATTTAAATTTTGCTACTATTATCTTAACAAAATAAGTCTATGAAATTCAAGGATTTGTTTAATCCTAGATTATTGGCTTGGGAATTTTGAAAATTTCTTTTTTCAACACCTTTATAATAAATGTGACTTAAGATCTGGCAAAACAGCATATTACTTCCCTTTTTCTGGACAAATGTTAAAATTGCAAAATATTCTGAAGCAATGAGATGGTGTAATAATTAACTAGCTAAAGGCCAAATGTTTGTTGTGTTCTTCTATTTCAGTACTTTTTGCAGTTTTGGTTTAACTTCAACAAAGACAGTTTCATTTCTCTACCTACAATACACTAGGGTATCAAAAGTATTGCACCACCTAGAGGGGGGAGAAATAGTGCATGAATGACGGAAAGCTATTGTTATGCAAAATTCTGTTTTTAATTGTCAAATGGCAAATGGCAATTGGTCGAAAGCAAAACAACCACCAATCAAAACTTCAATTTATTCAGAGCATTTGTTTAAAAAATAACAGTAGCAAATGTCATTTAACGGCTTCAAATTGCAATATTCTGACAGGTAGCCCCAAACTTTGAAACCCCAAAAAGCCTCCTTGAAATGGATCCATAAATTTGGGAAGCGTATTCTTGTGAAATTTTGTATCAGGCCTGGAAAATCCTTACAATTAGTGATTCTCTGGTTTCTGGGCGACTATTTTGATCATGGTTTGTAACGTTTTTCATTTGAAGTCAAACTTTTTTAGTGATGTTGGAAATTGGACTTGATTCTCGCTATGCCAAAGCTTTAATTTCATTTGTAAAAAATCTTTGTAAAAAGTGGTTTCCGTTTACTCAGGTAACTTTTTCTTTTGCATTTGTGCAAAACACTCATTATATTTTCCCTGGACTGATCTTGAGCTGCAAAACCTTGCTCAGCATTGAGTTTCCTGTATTTCATTGCCTTTGGTGTAAATGCAGTGAGATGAAATACAGACAAAATCTCTCCCCTCTGATATCAATTTTTTTGGCTGCCTGATTCTCGGTTTCTTTACTGCTGCAACATTTTCGCGAAATCTTTGTTGCTTTTTCGCAGCTGTTGTGTGGCTTCATCTAACTTGCTCAACATTTTTTCAAAAATTGAAGACCACTTCCCTGTAAATATTTTGTAGCGACTTGCTTCTCATTTGACAATTTCTCTCCCTTAGGCATGGTCTACATTTTTAGAAACAACAATGATTTCGCGCAATTCATACATTTCTAACTTTGTTTTCTATGGCGTCAGCAAAATTTGCAAACCTTTCCCGCCGAAATTTGTTATAAAGTACGCCTATTTCACCCAATACATGGAGTGGTGTCGCCAGCTCGAAAAAACTGGTGTGGACAAAAACAAATATTTTTGACCAAGCCCTTCAGACTCCTGAAAAATCCTTTTTTAGTATTTTAATCTATTTTGAAATATTTGGACAAGCAACTTTCTCAAGCAGCATAATTCGTAGGTGGCTTTAAAGCTTTTTTGCCAGTGCGAAAATCGAAATCGATCTGATCAGCCCAACGAAAAATAAATATTTAAGTCCACACCTGAGTAGGAAAACTTCGACGTAATCATCACAATTTGGCATGTCGCCGTCTATTTCAAACTCTTTCCATTGGATTTCTAAATAATAGTAAGATGAAGGAAACCAATATGGTGGTTGAAAAGAAAACCAACAGCTTTCGTTAATTGAGTAGTTCCGATGGGACAAAGTTCTCAAATCAGTCGAAGGAGGAAAATTGAATATCTGACCGCCGTCAGAGCAATCAACACATTGTCCGCTTGTAAATAAAAGGCAGAAAATGGCACTGCCCACAGCAAAATGCATTCTTGGTAGCTTTAGGCCACTGGCTCCATTTTCCTGGTAGCCCCTGGTAGCTGTAGATGTTGTTGCTTAGTTGCGTTTTTTTTACCGCTGCTCAAAAAGGATTGCGTTTTATAATGCTCGAAGACGTTGTTTGAATGCGGAAATGTTGGATTGACAAAACACTTCCGCATCAAAACAACCCAAAAACAATAGAGCACTGATGCATGGCCTTCGACAAAGGTTGAAAAGTGGAGGGGGGGGCAAGGGAAAATTTAACACCCATAACGAAAGATTTTGAAAAAAGCTCTATTGTTATGCAAAAAAGTGAGGGGGCAAGGCCCCCCTGGCCCCCCCCCGCCCCCGAAAGTGTCAGACAAAGTTTGTGTTATTCAACTAAAATTGAAAGAGCTTCAAAAATACAAAGTTGAAAACAATCCATTGAATATATATCTTTTCGTAAGCAACAGCAGTTTAAACATCCAGCACGCCACATAACAACCTGGCAGAATACTCGTGAATGGAACGGCACTAATATAAATATTTTTAATCAAATTACTATATCATCTGTCCTATGAACAAAAAACAGCGTAAATGAAACGGGGTTTCAAACAAAACACCTTGGTAGCCAGCTAGCACAGGCTCGTAATCTGCAAAATAGAAATCCAATTCTAAAAATTGTGCAGGCAGAAAGCTTCAAACAACACCAAAAGTAATTGTTCAATGTTCAACAATGACATGCAAAAGCATGAAGAATACCAAGCAGCACTATGAACAAAAATATGTCAACTTGGAAATGAAAAAATTGAATGGAAGTCTATTCAATGATCTGTGAAGCAGCCGAATCAACGATTGGTTTCACCAGAATCCACAACAACAATAGGCCAGAAAATGAAGAAGTTGAACATCTAGCAAGGCAACAAAAAAAACTCATAATAAAAATAAACAACTGCAATGATACAGAAAGGGAAAAAGGATGAAAACTGAAAGAAATAGGATATCACATCAAATTAAAAGAAGCTGATAGAAGTGTAGGAAGCAAGCCTAGACAAAAGGGTAAAAGAAATTGATGAAATTAAAGATTCTGGGAAATTGTTCAATGCTGTAAATACGGTATCAAGGAACAAGTTTGAAAATTCATACATACATGACGAAAATGGAAGAAATACAGTTAATCCAGAGCAAATATACAAAATTTTAAATAGCCATTTTCAAAGTCAGTTTGAAGATGACAGTGTCGAAAAATTAGAACCCTTTGAAGGCAATCCACGAAAACACAATTCTCCAATTACCAAAGAAGAAGTACTGAAAAGTGTCAAAAAATTAAACAACAATCGATCAGCCAGATATGACAATATACCAGCAGAGTTGATCAAATATAGTCCTGATTCACTTCACGACATTTTTTTCAACCCTTATAAACGAAACTTTCGAAAGACACAATGATATCGAGACAGGTGTTGGAATTTCAGTCTCTCTGCCATAACCAGGAAAAGTTAAAGGTCCAGTTAAGAATTTCAGACCAGTTATATTGCTACCGATCATTAGAAAAATGTTTTCAAATATTGGATTAGGAAGAGCAAAGCCAAAAGTAGAAAACTTTCTAACTGAATCAAAAAGCGCACGTAGAAAATATCGTAGTACCTCCGACATAGTTTTGGCACATAGATGGCACATAGCTAGGGTTCAAGTATATCAATAAAATATCTACATAACAGGGATTGACATGAGTAATGCATTCGACACTATAAAAAGAGAAAGCTGTTAGAAATCTATCTTCATTCCTCAATAAATGACGAAATCAGAATAATTCGACTATTATTGTCAAACACCACACTTAAAATCAAATTGAGCAACGTCAACACGGAACCCATTGAGAGCCATATTGGCTCGCCCCAAGCAGATGCACTTAGTGGTACATTATTAACATCTATTTTGACCATGTGTTTATTAAGCAAAGTAAGACCCTTTTCAATGTTGACGAAACATTAACTTTGCCATAAGGAGCCAAATACGCTTATGATACAGATTTTATAACAAATGATAAACAAAAACAAAAAGATCTAAAATCATACATCAAAGACATACTGTTTGAAAAAAATCCCAAAGTCAATCACTCGAAAGGAAAATCAAAGTTCCATTCAGAAGCGAAAAGACAAGGAATCAATCTAAAGATCGCAAAACAAGACTGCGAAGAAAGATGGAGAACGGTTAAAAAACTAGGATCGTTGTTGGAAGATGCTGAAGATATGTCTAGAAGGAAACAATTGTCAATCATCTGGATTAGAAAAGATAAAATTAAACAATCTCTGAGAATAAAATTGTACAAATCTCTAGTAAAGCCAATTCTTGTCTAAAACTCCGGTACCTGCGGATTAACAAAAAAAGCAGAAGAAATTCTTGATTCATTTCACAGACAACAGCTAAGAAGGGTACTCGACGTTAAATAGCCTGCACACATTAGCAATGCACAAGAGGCGAAGAAAATGCTGTCTTTGGAAATAATGCAAAATAGATGGAAACTATTTGGGCATGTTTTACGATCACAGCCTGAAACGCCAGCACAGAAGGCAATAAACTATTATTTTAAGACATCATCTTCAAAGAAATTTCGCGGAAGGCCAGTTATGACATTGCCAAATTCACTACACAACGACATAATTACGCTGAAGAAAGACAAAAAGTTCAAAAACAAATACAACAACATAAATCAGCTGAAATCATTCATTGATCTCAAAAATTCTGCTGGACTGCTGGTGCGAGAAAGACAAAGCTGGATGACGTTTGTGAACGACATTTATGTTGCTGCTAAAGCAGAAAGAAACTTATATTTTCTCAGTGCGAAGTAACTGTTATATATAAATATGTAAGGGGGTTACTTTTTCTGCATGGGAGTAAAAGGCAGTCTGTTCCCTATTGTGCTCAATATTTATTTTCACTGTAGTGAAATTCACGCACTGTTCAGTTTGATCGATAATTAAACGAGTTAAACCAATCAGACAAAACTTTGATTCCAGAGCTTTTGAAGCAAATGGCTGTGTTCCTTTTGAATTGAAGCTGTGGCTAGAAAAATGTGGTTCCATTTTCGTTTGGTTTGTGCGACAGATATGTCAACAGCGAAAGGAAATGCTTCCATTATTATGATTAAATTCCAGTTATTGAATCTTCTTGCCATTTCCTATAGCTTTTTGCTCGCAGTTTCAAATGTCGTACACTACCGCAGCTAGGCCAGCCCAAGTGACCAGCGTAAACTGTTTAGACGGGAAGACCAATTTTTCATATTAACCAATTATTAAGGGGACAGACAAGGTCACTGGATAAAAAATGTTAATGATGCAAAAAACGGCAAAGTTAGCAAAATAAGGACACATAATTTGAATTCAAAGTGTTGGACGGCCATCACATCTAGTCTCTATGATGACGTCGTAAAAAAAATGCTGACATCAGCCAAATTAAAACAATTATATATCAAATGAATTTATTTAAAAAAATTGACCATTTTCATTGTTATAGGCAGAGTATTTTAAAAGTTATGACCTAATTTTTGACGTTATCCAGCACGTGATTTCCTGGATAAATTTTGTTGGGCCCATCTTGGAAAATCAACCAATTACCAATATAAAACATTGGGCACTTGCTTAGTTTGTCACAACAATTTCTCTGTCTATTAGACGAACTTCTCGATTAACTTCTTCATTTTTAATTTCAGGATCGGTTTGATTTTCGAATTCAGCTACCTCCTAATCATACATATATTGGTCATTGTCACTATCTGAAAAATTTGTCAGATTGTGAAATAAAGAAACACATAAACATGTACCCAAGCCAGTTTAAAAAGATAACGAACCGAATCGAATAGTCGAATTTAGCATGCGAACTGGCCCGGATACACAAATATTCTGGTTCATATTTTTTAGATTGCAAAGAATAAAACAAAAAGTTTTAACAATGAGGTATTAAAAAAGTGGTGCTGTAATTTTCCTTGTTGAGTTTATGTAAAAAAGATACAGCATTAATGGTGACTAAAAAGTTTGCTTGATTGACAAGTGTGAAATTTTAAACTCGAAGAGCATTGTGTTAAATTTGTTACTCATTCTGTGTCATAACATTGCGCTACGATGAAATCAAGGACCGATACACCGGGGGGCTAGGGGGGGGGGAGGCTTAGCCCTTCAAAAATCTTAAGTAGCAAAAGTAAAAAACTTTTATTTTATAAAATATGGCTGTTATTACATTTAATTATCAAGGCAAAAAAAGTTGTATCTCGGTCTTTGGATGAAATCACATGATTCGAAGCACCAAAAGGCATATTACACTGGCTCATTCTTGAACCCGTTTTCCACCACTGCTGTTACCCTGTCATGATGGATAATTTTTTTCACCATGAGAATTCTCGATAACGAAACTAACTCTATTTGTGCCAACTTTTTATTTTTCCCCGTTGTATAATGTTTTACCTCGAGCTGGACTTTTTCACAAGTACTATATTCAATCATAATTTGATATTGAATTGGCGTTGCGTTTCTCTTTGCTTATTTCTAGCTTCCTGATTATCTGATAGAGTATGGCTTGTTACAGAAATGCAATATCATTATCATACTTTTGGAGATACAAGGCCATAGGTATCAAAATTTCATCGATGAAATAAAACGTTGTTGGCGCCACCCTCAAGGGCATAGTGGAAAAACCAGACCCTATCACCTTAGGACACCTGTGAACCCTAAGAACATTAACTGAGAAGATCAAAAAGGACTCTTAACTTCTACATGATTTATTGCTCCCCTAGAGCTATTATGGAATGATTCCAATTTTGGCTCAAACTCATTAAACAATTGTCAGTCTCCTGCCCTTTTCAACAATTTCCACGAGGCGAAATTCGCACAGAATTTGCTACGAATTAAATTCAAAAGTCTCTTTTGATTTCTACGAGACTGTGATTTCCAGAACAGCACGCGTTGCGATTGCTTATAGAATGATTTCCCAAAATTATGACTTATAACAAGTACTTAGGACTCATTTTGAAATCAAAAATTAAAAATCAACCTCTGCAATGTGTGCTGTATGGACGGGGGAGGTTTAAAAGTGTGGAACTTTTCGATGAACGATTTTCTGTTGTTGGGTTGCGTAAACGGCTTTTCGTGTTTTGGCTACTATTTTGCTCCGAATTCAAGTGCTCTGCCCCCTACTCTGCCTACATTGTTAATTTACTTCATTCTGTCTTTCCTCTAAAGGCCCCATAAACCCTGATCTGACCAAAGAGATAGGATCTCTATAGGTCTGACACACGCGTCTTTTTCATGGCGTACCGAGAAAAGGGCCCAGGACCTTAAAGCAGGAGCCAGGACCCAGGTCCCAGGACCAAGGGCCCAGGACTCGGGACCCAGGTCCCAGGACCAAGGGCCCAGGACTCGGGACCCAGGACCCAGGACCCAGGACCCAGGACCCAGGACCCAGGACCCAGGATCCAGGATCCAGGACCCAGATCCATGACTGTAGATGTTTTCGACGATGCACTCGTTGTTTCCTTTATAAAAATACCAAGTTATTACATTGCATATCAAGTTATAACTTTGCATCCTACCATGAACAATTGTCTAAGATGACAGAGGGCAAATTCAACAAAAAAGCAACAATTACAGAAAACTCATCGCTGTAGAAATTGATTTTTTCCAAAATAGGATGGTATTGTCAAACTTTTGAAAATTAGATAAGATATTTGGGGGGGGGGGTTGCTGTTGCTTTGTGCTTAGGCCAACACGCAAAGCTGAATCTGTTACAAAATCCGCAGACACGGAAGTTCTTAGCGATTTCAAGGACTGTTGAATCTCTATTATGTGGTTTATCAAAGGGTTTTTCAAAAGCAAGTATATCCTATAGTCTAGTGGCAAGGGAAAACCATTGGCCTAAACTAGCAAAAATGTATTTCGCAGTCTGGAGTGTACTACTTGGGCTTCTATTTACGAACGGACAATGTTGTTACAATGGCCAACAGATCTTGTATACTGCTGTATCTTCTTTGCAGACTCTTTCCCATTTTTACTACAATAACAACGAGAACTGTTGGTTTAATATTCAATCACCATCATGGATGTCTTCAAGCTACTATTTAGAAATTCAGTGGAAAGCGTTCGAAACAGAAGGGAACATGCCAAATTGTAATGATTACGTCGAAACGTCGAAGTGTTTCTTACCAGGTACGAACTCAAATAACATTTTCTTTGCATCGACTTTTTGCAGAATAGGCTCACTCCTTTTTGATATAATTTGCTAAAGGAGATGTAAAGGGGCAGTGCAACGGCTTTTTTTAAAACGAAGTCAACTTTCAGTACTGGCGAAGCATATTTGAGAGTGGAGGGGCCAAAATGTTATGGTTTTGAACGGTTTAGTGGAGACCGCCAAATTTTTAGAATTTTTCTAGGCAGCCATGTAGCTGTGGATATCGGCTGGGGTGGGCAAACAATAGCAAGAATCAAACGTCGAGGGGGCAGATTTCAAGCAAGAGAGAAATTCATAACAGCAAATGATGAGCTTATTTGGAATATATCAAGCCTAAACGAAGCTATGAGTAAAGAGCAGAACACATTAGCATCAACATTCGAAAATATTTCATTTCATTTCATTTTATCATATTTATACACAGAAACCCTATCAGCTACTAGGTTAAAGAAGAAAAAGTAAAGATTAATTTATATATAATGCTGGTCTTCCTAGGGATCGTGCTTCGGGAAGGGGTGCTAATTTTGCAGAAATTCCTTTAACTTCTTTTTGAACGTGGTAATCGTGGAGCTCATTCTTATCTGTGATGGAATCTCGTTCCACGTCTGTGCACCACAATAGAACAAAATTCTTTTGGAGAATTTTAGGTTTTGGCTTGGGATGTCTAGGTGAAGGCAATTTCTTGTTGAATAGTTAGATATTTGGGATCTTATGACAAGTCTTCCTTTCAAATTGTCAGGGCAGAGAACATTTATTATTGTGTAGATCATTACTGACCTGTCAAATTTTATTAAATTTGAGACCGAAAGCCAATTGCAGCTCCACCCGTTCTTTAATCTTGAGCCTTCTATTAGCGTGCGCGCTCTGTTTGTAAACGCTGAAGTTGATCGAGCTTTGTGTTTGACAATTTGCCCCATAGTAAAAATAAATTTCGAGGTTTCGGTTGCAACTGAACTGAAAATTTTTGGAATGATATTTCACAAGTTTGGATTTTTCCAAACAAAATGTAAGCCAAAGCGCGCTGACGAAAAGAGGTGCTACGTCGCCTTATTGGTGCATAAATGTGCGTCATGGACGATAACATTCAGCTCTTGCTGAAACATAACTACACACCAGTGCAATTCTGTGGGTTCTGTACACTATGATTCGAGAAGCTACTTCATAATTTTCCAGCAAAACTTGTACACGTTTCCAATTGCTTGCTCTTGCACTGGCTAAGAATTACAAAAACTTTGCAATCGTTTTCAAAATTCCCTCTGTCAATCGGGTAACTTTTTGAGATTTGATTTTACATGCCTCCTTGATATCTCCAAAATATGAACAAGGCTATATACTAGTACGCATGCAACATCACTCTCTTTCTCTATTTGTTTTTTGCACATTGTTCGAGAAATCAATTGATGTAAAATGTTTTGAAGGTTATTTCTTATATTGCACTTTTTTGCTCTGCCAGTCTTAGTCCTCCCTTCTTCTAGAATTTCTTGCTTCGGGTAACAGAACATGATCCCCAAGGATGTTCTGAAACATGAATCCCAAGAATATGAACAAAAACAAGAACATATATCCCAAGGATGTTCTGGTATAAGCGCGCTTGAAAGGGGCACTATGAAGGGGCTTCTTGTGTCTACTTGGAATTCGTGGCATGTTTCGAGGCGATTTTTGACAACAGTGTCTATGCCTGGGAACCAGAAATGGGCTCGAATACGTCTTTTTTACATCCTGCCCTGCATGTGATCCATCTTGAAGAGACCGTGGAAGTAGAATTTTATCACCTCTATAAAAGATGTCATCTGCATCAATAGAAAGTTTACTCAGAGCTGCAAAAAGTAGTTGACCTTTCTCCAAATCTGAAATTTATGCTCTCAACCTTCCTCATTTTAATACAACATCTAATTACTGGAAAGTCGTTCGACGGTATTTTGTGAACCAGACAGAAGCATATGATTAGGGATCTTCCCATATCACTTGTCAGGGCTATAACCAGGCTCTAATACAAGGGAGGACAGTCTTAAGAAAGCGATTCATTAATTGAAAGGTATTGGTTCTATTTCAATCTACTTTTATTGCAAGTGAATTGCTTTTATTTCATGCTGGTAAAAGGTGTTAAGGCAAGTTAGTCAAGAAGGATCAGAGGAAAATGAATCGATTGCATTATTTACATAAAATGAGGAAAACTTTCTAGGCAGGCAATTACTAAGAGAGGAAATGACAAGGACTGATCATTCCATGACAGTTAAGTTAGACAGGTTATTAGTTGTTAGTTTACCAAACATTATTTGCCTTTCTATCAAACATTATTTATCATTATCGTTGCAAATATATTTTTAACTGATTTTCTGAAAGCGAAGAAAATATTTTTACGAGCAAACTTTTGAAAAAAGGCCTCAATGCTACATTTTTGCAATAAATTTGTCAACCTAAAAGCTACAGAGAACCATAATGATGTGTTCAATGAATTTCATGTTTGGTTTTTACTTTTCAGAATGAAATTTTCACAATGATTTAACAAGAGAGACTTCACAATGATTCCTTAATCCTAACTGTTTGCTCTGATGCAAAAGAACTGATTCACAGTACATTTCTCAAAAATTTCCCTCACTGTCACTGATATCTTTTCAGTAACTTCAACCATGCCATTTCACTTCTAATATAAAGAGCCATATTTTAAGAGCTATTTTGTTTTGAATTTGACGTGTTGTGGCCAGTAAAACCATCATTTTATGTTTTGATGTTCCTTTGAGAATGCTTATCCGTTTTACAGGAAATCACTCTATATTTATAAAAACACAATTAGAAGGTTATTAAAGAAAATAATCCATTATAATTTTCACTTGTACGATTTCTATCTTCAGCTTCCCATGCAATGATATGTCAGTTGTCTTGCCTGAGTCCTCAATCATTGCTAAAACCTTACTTTTTTCTTAAGACCTTTGTGCAAGAAGTTTGCTGTTTAATTTTTGCTGAACTTTAAATGAAAACTCATTTTCAAAACTCATTTTTCCCGACACACATGAATATTTCCTTATAGACTTTCTCTCTTTCATCACATTGACTGATCAAACCTGATTTTTCTTCTATGATATAGTTTCGAAATATAACCTCACCAGCTGCATACAGTTGACACGATTTTTAATGGTTTTATGTATTGTATTTATTTGATTTATTTTTCACACTTATATACTTATAAAACTATACCAACAATGTAAAAATTAATTTTTGTCAACAAAACTTCCTCAATTTTTGACTAAAACCTTCCTCAAAACCAGGTTTATAGGTGTGCAGTGTTTTTGCGTCTCTGAGTTCACTAAAGGTTTTCTTGAAGCCTTACGTGTGGGATCATTTTGTGGAGCTTGGCCAAGTGCTATGAAGTTTTGCAGACGTTCCACCTGTCTATCATTGAGTTGCGCTTGATGTATACGTTGCTCCGAGATGGTAGATCTGATGGGCTGATGAAGTAGAGAGAGGAGTTTCTGGCACTCTTTCGCTTCCTTCTTAATGCATGCAGGCAGTTTATAAATAGGGATGGCATGTCGGCTAGTGTAATCAGCTGGATTGCCCTTTCCTTTACGCCAGATAACACGATGATTGATGTCCTGGTGGCAAAGAAGGATGCGTTGAATTCAAGAGGGTGGCTCCCTCTTTGAGGTCCACAGTAACACCAGAGGTTTTCTGATCAGTGATGCTCGTGACTGGTGGGCCTCCAACAAAAATGTGGCGGAATTGTCGAAAACCAAAGTCAATTGCTGTTGTCTCTACATCAAAATGTGAGTAATTTTTCTCAGCATTTGTTGTGATGCATGATGCGATGGCAACTGCTTTGGTGGTGTCAATCGAGGCTCCTTGTGTGAGGATTGCAGATAGACCTGTGTAGTGTGCGTCAACAAAAATAAAAGATTGGGCGTTTGAACCGTAGTGGCTGAGTAAGACATCTTCGTTGAATTGAAGGGCTTCTTGAGATTTTCGAATTCCATTTCGTGGGCTTCTGACCATACAAACGGATTGATATCTTTTGTTAGCTCTCTCAGGTTGGCTGTGGCAGCTGCAAGGTCTGGTATGAACTGTCCGTTGGATCGAATCATACATAGAAACGATTTAACTTCATATGTGTTCTGGGGTCGTTCTGCATGATGCACTGCTTGGGTTTTCTGTCGTTCCGTTTTAATGTTGTTTTTGCTGACTTGGAATCCCCAAAAGGAAATTTCTGGGGAAGCAAGGAGACACTTCTTAGGACTAACGGTTAATCCTGCATCAGCTAGGGCCGCTAGGTCTTGTTCCAAGGTGTTGTTGTGGTTGTTCATGTCAATTGCTGCAATCATAATGTCATCTTGAGTCACTACTACATTAGGTATGTTGACAAGGATAACAAGTGTAAAACTGTTTTTAATGCGCGCGCATGCTGACGTGATTTGCCTGCCCGCGAAAATTGTGTCGTTCTGTCCCGGATGCGAATGATATAAAAGTTAAAGTGTCACATGGTCGGTTGGCGGGAAAAATTTTGCACGTCGCCATCTGGCCGCAGCTTGCAGGCACAAAAGCTCTTTGCACAGCGGCTGCAAACATTTTTGCTCTATGTTGGCAAGGATAAGGCGAAGCCTTTGGTTAAGTTCTCCAAATACTGGTAACATACCCATGGTCAGGCGCTTATATCTTATTGGGCGCTCGCCGGCACAAAAAACTTAGTAGGCGGGATGCTGCATCAAGTCCCAGTTGAAGAAATGCTGTTCTGAGATCAAGCTTGCTAAAATTTATTTTTCATTGAACATGAGCATGATGTCCTCTACACGGGGTATGGGCAAATGGGGATTTAGGAGGACTTGGTTGAGGCCTCTGAGATCTACTGTAATTGTCATGTTTCCATCTAGCTTGGGGACTAGAACGGGATTTGCAAGCCATGTCACTGGACCAACGTATTTTTCTATGACGTCATCATTTTCCATCTCACAAATAATTTTCTCAAGTGTGGCTGTAAGTGATGTATGGAATCTGTCTTGGCGGCTGAAGGATTGGTTTGGCATCAGGCTGTAAATACGTTCCTTCCTATTGGCATCTGATGTATCCTCTTTCAGTTCACCAATTGAGGCCACTTCATAACACATTTCCCACGAGTCTATAAAATCTCTAAATGCTTGTAGCGTATTTTCTTCTTGCTCTGAAGGATCAAAGAGTGGACTTCCTACTGCTTTGGCCAGTGGGTTCATCTTTATCGAGATGTCCCATCCTCGTAAACAGTGTAATAAAATAAATGCAAGCTCTCTATGATCGACCATGAGCTCTTCTAATCTAATTCATGTCAATACGAGGTCAATAAAACAGAACAGAACATAACATATAAACGAGGCTCGACACCAGTACGTATGCAACACTTTTTATTCTTTCGCACCCTGACTGTAATTGTCAAAATTTGAATATTAAATACTTTGAGACATTGACAATTTTGCAAGTAGCTAAGTGTATAAATCTAAGAAGCCAAAAGTAGAGCTTTCTGCTTTTCAAAAGATGCAGGGTCCCTTTCAGAAGCGATTAACTTACAAAATTATAATTATGCCAAAAAATCATTTGGAATAAACCAGAGGCGGCAAATTGTGGCTAAAACTTTCATTTGGCGGGCCATAGGCCCTCGTACCCTTGCAGCTACGTTGTAGATTTATGGGATGGTCAAAAACAGCGTCGGAAATTGATTTGACTGGGAAATACAAGGCATTAATTATTTCTAAGCTTTCTTTCACCATTTTGTCCCATAGTTTTATATATTTCGATTTTCACATGTAAAAGGAAAGGTCTTGCAAAGTTTAGAATAATCTTTTTAAGTGCAGCGAGTAATCAATTTTTTTAAAATTAAATTAGATACCAAATTAGAATGGGGGAGAAAAGAAGGAGGAACATAGTTTCTCTGTCGAGCTCTGTCAAACTCTGTCAAGGCCAGTTTTGATAGAAATAAAAACTACGTTTAGTTTTACAAGGTAGAGGGCTCAATAGTATTGGTGGGGAAGGATAGTATGCTTCCGGGCACTTTTGTTTCTTTCAAAAGCTGATATACACTCTTTTTGTTACGTTTTTGAGAGTTTGTTTTACAAAAGATCACTTGTTAACAATAAAAATAACAATCACAAAACAGTAGCAATAACAAAGCGATAACGACAACAATAACGAAAATGATAACGATAACGAAAACAATAACGAAAACGAAAACGAAAACGAAAACGAAAACGAAAACGAAAACAAAAACTCCATAAAATCCATTTATTACATTCTAGTTAGAGTTGGCAGTGCTGAATCGAATGTTGTAATTAGTTTCTGCATACCTTTTTGTTAAAATAACTTTTTCAAGCTCCAAAGTACTTGCTTTCGTCAGTTTTGTGAGAATAAAAAACACTGCCAAAGAGGAATTTCAGGAATTGTTGACGTATTCTGGAGTGTTCGTGCACCGGCAAGGTCTGTTTTCTGCGCGCTTTGAAGGAATACAGAGATCGGGCATAGCAAAAGCGACCTAAGCAGGGCAAATATTGATATGTCAGAGCATTAAACGGTACTGGCTGTTTGGATAACATTCACATGCCCGAGAGTCAATCGCAGAAGTTTCCGAAAGATGGATTTAATAGCGTCGATTGTGAGTAAAATTCATAAAAAGACAATGGGCCGGTTTCAGTCCGTTGTCTTCATCCACCCTGTGATCTAAAAAGCACGTTACGTACAAGATTTATAACAACCCAAACCAAGTTTCAATCGATTTTGAACAGTCTAACGGAAGTGAATCAAGGGGAAACAGACATTTAGAGCTTCAGTATGGAGCTTGAACGAGGGCTGGTTCAGATAATTTTACAAAACCAGGAAAACACAACGAGACCCCAAAAACATTTAAGTATATTAGTTCTACCAACTTTAAGAAGTTTCAATCCATTTTTAATAGTTTTACGGCAGTAAAATTAAGGAAAACAAACATATGATGTCGCTGTTATAATACTTCTGTATGGAGCTCGAGCGAGGGGCGTTTCACATATTCTCACAAAGCAAGATAAAAACAAGGAGGAACTAAAAATATTTATGCACGTAAATTTTACCAAATCTACGAAGTTTTAATCAATTCGGAACATTTTTGGAACAAGTGGATTTAGGGGTTTTCTATGTCTTAATAAAAAGGGGTTCCTTGGAGCTTGTTAACAGGAAATTCTATTTTTGAAGCTTTTTGCTTTAAATTAATAAACACTCGATAGAGGTGCTTTTTATGTTGTTTTGAATCGATTTAGATGTCTTGCTTTTTTTCTAGTGTTGGAGATCATTTCAAATCAGGTTGCGATGTTTGATATGGAATGTCAATTCATGGAAACATTTAGGCCGCGTCAAAAAAATTCTGCTTAACTTTGGATGTAAAGTGCATCTTGTTAGGAAAAGAATCAACAGAAAATCGATCTAGGTTTTCGCTTTGAAATAACTTTTTGTTACATTTATCCAAATTAAGATCCGAATAATTAGGAACGTGTCAGCTTCGCCACCACATCATTAGAGGAGGGTGGTAATGGATAATTTTCATCGGGTAGGAACATCACTTCACCATACCGCCTTCGAAACTTGCTCTCTCACTTTCGATACGGCCTTGTCATTGTTAGATGAAAAATTTAAATCTAAAAATTCCTCTCCGACCTAAGGTTGCTGGGCATTTTCTAGGCTTTGGCTAAGTTTCGTGATCGCCAATCATAGAATACCATACCAGAATGAGTCACTCTCTCCAGACTCCTTTTGAAAAACCTCCTATTGCTCAACCCCCCAAAAATGGATTTAAGGCCCTTATTTCTAGAGATTTTGCAGATAGAGAATCAGTGATGTTAACCGCCTAAGAAAAAGCCTTCTGCATAATTTTGATTTTTCTTGTCACTGGCACTTAAAATTTGCTTTGCGGAAAACTTGAAAGAAAAGGCATGCTCCGGTTAAACCAGCCCTGAGTTTTACCAAATTAGGGGATGAAAAATATTCAATTTCACATTTTTAAATTTTTCAATAGATATTTTAAGTAAATATTTCATGCTCGAAATTTTGTTATAACAACAATAAAATAGCGATGCAAAAAATAAGCAGTAATAGTAATAAGTTCCTGGAAAAGAAATTAAAACCAGACTTTACAAAGTTAGCTACAAAAAGTTCAGTTGAAGGGAACTTGAACTCAACAAAATTTACATTAAAGGAAAGCACAGTTTTACTATATGATGCATGTGCACCCTACTGAAACAAATTTAGAAAATAAAGTGATGATTAAAAAATGTTGGTTGGCTACTACTACTGTTCTAGACCACTACTGGTGGCACAATTTGATATCATAGAATTACAGTTCCATGAATTCTTCACTTCAAGTGCAGACTTTGAAATTTATTGTGCTTTGAAACTTATAATGACATTTTGGAATAGCTCTTCACCTTGTTTGGAATTTGCTTGTCAAAACTTTTCTTATTTGTATGCTATTAAATGTTTGGCATTCTCTTTAAATGGAAACGTGTTAATCAGCTTTATTGATTTTTAAGAAAAGCACGCCTTAGAAAATTCTTGAAAAGATGTCAAATTGTGTCTAGAAATTTCCAAAGAAAAACATGAAACCTTTCTCGACTCCCAGACAGATATACATGAGAGCCCAAGACCTAAGTAACATTCAACTTTTTTTTCTAGGTCGAAGAAAAGCATTGGAAAGTACTGTTCTGGAAACATAAAATCAAGTGTGCTGTTTAACATGTACTCCCATGATGGTTATGCATTTATCAACTTTGTATCAGATTTTTCAGTGAGAAAAAAAGGTTTTTCCTTAACATATCAGCTGAAATATTACTCTTATGCACCTCTTGGAGTCGAATCATATTTATCATCATCATGTCCGTAAGTCTGCTTAATGACTATTTCACATTATATAACATTTACACGTTTCTAACACAATATGGTTTCAAGAAAATATCAAGATAAAATGTTTAGTCAAGGTTTACAAATCCTGTACTTAAAAATGTTATTAATGTCAGCTATGGAATATTGAACTTTAACAATATTTTTATTTGGATGCAAATGATTCTTAGAAACATTTGAAATTTGATTTTGATATTTTGCCATCAAATAAGTTACAATTTGAAATTAGTAAAAAGAAAGTGATATATTTACTGTTATAAAGAGACTAACAGTTAACAGATCTACCATGCATGTTTGTCAGCTTCTTTACAAGCTCTAATGCCTGTAGCTTCAAAGCAAATCTGCTACTGAGGAGGGCACGAACTAATCAGAAATGAACCCAGATACCACTAAGCAAACACAACGCTGGCGTTCTTTCTATCTTGATAATTGTTCGCTAAATAAACAAGATTACAAAATAGTTGATAAAATTATATATAATTAATTAACGAGTTCTAGATGTAATGCAACTAAATGAAAATAACAACGTGAAGAAAAAAGCAACATAAACAATAACAGGTTAACCAAATTAATTTCAACTTACTATTTATTTTACCTCGTAGCATTATCTAAGCAACAGGCTAAATACTAGGCCGAAAAAGGTATCTTCAATTGCTTGCAACGGTAACTCGTACGTACTACTATCGATGCTGTTCTTTTTTCTCCCTGGGTAAAACACGCCCAAAGCTTTTATAGGGGTATAATGCAAATCCTCGAAGACACGTTTATAACGAGAAGAAATGTCACGTGTCCCCGAGGACATGCCTAAACAATGCTAAACATATCTAATTATAACAGGGTCAAAAGTCCAAAATAGTTCTACTTAAAAGACAACAAATAAATAAGATTAAAAACAATCTGTTTCTCACAATGCCTGCCAAAAGTCTTAGAACACTGACGTCAATTTCCAAGGTAAAAATCAATCACCCAAGCAAGTATCCTTCAGCCATCAAGTTTACGATATATCGTCTTTGAGTTGTTGGCAAACAAACTTAAAATATTGGCATTGGCAAGATAAACCTTAAAAGTTTCCCAAAAATGGATGGGAAACACTGTCTCGATGATAAAATCAACTCCAACATTATTAAGAATTTCTTCTCAAATATAGCTACAGACAATGCCTGCCAAAAGTACATGGAATACCCAGCAATTTACACTGCATTTGATATCTTTCATTCCTTTCATGAAAAAAAATTACTACTTCCACCCCCTTCCCCCTAAAACAATGTTGATGATTTAGAGAAATATCATAAAAGAAGCGCAAAAAATGTGCTTCCTAAAATTCTAATCCGTTTGATAGTAAACCAACATTGTTCTATAGGGGAGGGGACAAAGTTATGAACTGAGAACAAATTACAGAGGTTTGATGTGGCCAGAGCTTGTGCTCATCTCACAGCCAATTCGTATAACCTTTTAACTGATTTTGCAGATCTAGAATTATTTCATAAAGCTGTTTTAGATTATGGGAACAAATTTCAAAATTCTAAAATTAGCTTTTAGTGATGTCATCACTTGACAACACTATTGTCAAAACCGCTGTGGTTGTCAAAAGCTGCTGCACAGCTTCCTACAGTTACTGCGCTTTATCTACTGAGTTTCAATCTAGTGCACTTGCGTCAGTAAAACAAATGTTTTATGGGGCGGCCAAACGAACGCAACATTGTTGATCAAACATGAGAAAAAAATATGTTTTACGAAATGTTTTATGGAAATTAAATTACGTAAAATACCACAAAACATCGTATAACTTCTAAAACATGTTTTAGCCAACAATGTTGGATAGTTTTTTATTCGTTAGTAGCAATGGCATGAATTTTCTAAAAATTTACCAAAATGGCTGTTTAACTTTGTCGGTTTTAAATTTTTTAGCTCAAATTTTTTTGGAAATAGACAAGATTCTTTCGAAATCTAATAAGAAATTACACTCTTTCGAAATCTAATTCAGATCAACGCAACAAAACATTCTGCATCTTTCAATAGTCTATTGAACAAGTGCTAAAAAGTCCTAAATATTTATTATTGCTAAATGCTCAAAAAGTGCTAAATTTTCTATTTAAAAGGACCTAAGTTCCTAAATGAAATTTGCAAACAGATCCTTGAAGGACTGTTAATAACGTCATAAGGGGAAGGATCTAACAACGGCATCTTTCTAATTTTAAAACAACTCATAGAAAATTAAATTTAGTTGGTTGTTAGCCGCAAACACAATATCAACTATATAAAATCAGTTTTCGATAGGAAAAGGGTAAATCATTAAAGACAAATATATTTTCTAGTACACTGGGAGAATTTCTCAACAGGTAACTTAACACAATTTAGGCTTCTTTGACAAGGGCAAAGTTGCATCTTATTTCTGTCATCCTTTCCATTTCAGCAAAACAAACAGGTCTGCAGCGGGAAACTTCTACTCACTTTGTTGGCCAATTGTTTATGGACCAAGAAACAATTATATCCCATGTGTTTTCAGCTACAAACTTGGCAACAACAAAATGAAAATCGCAGTGATGGATTTGAATTTTTACAAACTGCAATCTTCATGCTACTACGAAAACAATTATCTAGAAATAAAAGGTATGTGTAGCGTTTTTGGGTTTCTACAAATTTGAGAAAAATTAGGGAGGATGTGGGCTAGGGCAGTTGACTCTGATATAGACAAAGACAAATTACTGTCCTTGATTGATTTTTTCGCTTTTCTAAAAGATGAGCAAAAAGAATTACAAAAATTAAAACCAAATAGAAAACAATGTTAACGTTACACTACATCTTGACAAGAAAACGCATTGCCGAGAAAAAGCGATTACTGTAACAAAATGACTTATCAAGACATGGAAATGAAATATTGACTGTAAGATGATTGATTACGAGTCAGTCATTTTGGAAGATACAGCCCTTTGCACATATGAACGTGTTTTGTACAAGCTTTTCATCTTCTATAGCTCAAGGAAAAAGCAGATTTTTCACTACGTTGAGTACCCATGTTTGTAGAGATAGGTATAGACGCCTCCATTATGGCATCAACTGCAACAGTGAACTGTTCCAAAATCGGTTGCAAACTACGTTACAGGGAATTACTGGAGCTCAAAATCTGCCTTATGATATTGTTGTCCTTAGAAATGCAAGGGACAAGCATGATACTGCTTTCTCCAACATTCATAGAATTTTTGAGAATTTTTGAGAATAGATTCAGAGAATTGTCTGACGCTTAATCGACAAAATGCAAATTTTGTGCGATATCCCTGTCGTTTTTTAGGACAAATATTCACACCTGAAAGAATTAAAGCTGATCAAAATATAGTTTCAGATTTTCAAAATGCCTCAACTCTTCAAGTTACATGCCTCGCAATCATTACATACCTGATTTTGCACACAATGACTTAGCTTTTGACGAACTCAAAAATGTCCTACATTGATGAAAACAAGTCTTTTATTACTGTCGATGCTAGTCCTGCTGGCATTCTTGAATTCTATACCAAAAGAAAAATGATTCCGAGGATTTTCGTGTGGATTTTGCAGTATCTGCGGTAAAAGAATGACATTCTCTAACGGAGAATGAGGTCTTGAGTATTCTGTGGGAAGTAGAAAATTTCCCTTTTCTAGTATATGGGTGTCCTACTTACACTTAGAACCGACAGCAAACAGTTCTAAGAAATCGACGGCAATGCCAACTCGAAACCATCCATGCGAATAGAGGGATGGGCTTTTTGTTTGCAACCATACGAATTTGAGGTTGTTTACAAGCTTAGTTCTGACAACCCAGCCGATTTTCTGTTTAAACCTCTGACAGCAAGAAGTAAACCCATCAACGAAGAAAAATGAAAAAGTGTATGTTAAAGAGTGTATGTTAGCGTGCAGTCTGAAAATAATTACATAAAGAAATAGAAGCGATTTTGAAACATACCTCAAGGCATTAGGCATCAGCAAATATCCAGCTACGCGCAAATAGCTGCAAGAAAGTTCGTGGTCGGGAGGTTTTAACTATCTAAAGCAGCGTAAATCCAATCCAATCTATTGATCTTTTCTTGTCATACAGGAGAGTATGAAAACAAGAGATCAATACACTCACCTCACGAAAGTATCCGGACAGTTTCGAATTTGGTTGCAACGAAAGGTGTGCACTAATTGTGATCACGTGACATCGTAAAAATGAAACAAAAAGTTAGAACAACCGGCCTAGACTTCTAGATTTCCAGACCGAAGCTTTTTAATTGACTTTCGGAATGACAAAATAAAATATGAGCTTCTTTTTGCCACGATATTACTATCAGAATATATTATAGTTACTGTATCCTATCGAGTAATATTGTTATGGTTTGCTTCACAAAATCGTTGGATCATTTTTGTACTGCCACAGTGGGAAGCTATGTTGAAGATACAGGCCACAGAGACAATTGCTGTCCGTAGCCCGTAGAAAGTTTGCTTAGAAAAGTCAATGCTCATCTAAAAAAGATGAATTTTTTAGAAATAGCTGTCGCTCTTGCATTTTCTTCTTTTGTAGATTCCTGGAGCTTCTACACTGATCAGACTTCCATCAAATATTACACCATTTCCATCAGTGGAAAACTTTGCTATTCCGTACAGCCTACATCTTACACGACAACCAGATCAAATGTCTACTTCTACTACGATTCGGGTCGTTATGGAAAAACAATAATCGAGGTTTTGTTCTTGGTTACATTGAATATGGTTAGTATAACAAAACTTTGCACTTTACTGTTCATTATCATTTTAATTAATATAAAACGATACTTTCCAATACGCACTTTTCCAAAGCATCCTTGGGAAAGGTTGCTTGACATTAATGCCTAGGAAAGATGTTTTTGCCAGCTGATATTCCACTTTATTTGCTTGTATAAAGTCTAATAAATTATTACCTTTTAATATGTTTACCTGTTCACGTTGAAAGAAACTATTTCTGAATGATGCCAGAAATGCCTAAACAAACATTAGGTACACATCAGCGAACATCAGTTATCTAAAAGCAAACATCGAGGAAAATACAGGTATTAACATCAGGCGTGTACCATAAAACATCAGGTATGCACCAGTAAGCATCAGGTATGCATCAGGTCTTGAAATCAGACACAACTTGATTATTTTTCAGTCAATACGTCCAAAATGTCTCTTGCATTCCCAGAAACATTGTGTAAAAGATGTCATTGGAATATTTAGACAATTTCAATGCTTGTTGAAAATATTTCCTTCTCTTCGTACCATTTTTTAAACTGGATTCCTAGATCTCCTTAACCACATTATCATTTTTTTTGTTTAAGGCAGCGATATAAGTTGGTCAAGTTGGTCAACTCCACCGACAACACAGCGATCAACAACACGTGCATGGACAAGATGGAGCCACTGGTCACGCTGGGGCCGTCCAGACATCAGATTAGATTCAGAAAGAAATCGGTCAACGTATATAACCATTGGTGCATCGATTGGCGGGGTTGTGTCTCTTATTGCAATTATTGCAGTAATCTGTGGTTGTTACAGAGGATGCTGCAAAACTGCCACAAATAACATTGGAACACAAGCTGCCACAGCCCCTAATTTAATCATCTCAAACAACTTGATTGCTTTCCAAGAGCAAGCTAGTTGTCAAGATGGTTCTTTGCAGACTCAAGAATATCAGCAGTTATGAAACTAGATGTTGTCCCATCAGTTAGTTTCTGCTAAACCGGGTAGCCTACTCTTTTTTACATTTCGACAAATGAACCCCCCCCCCCCGCACCTTACTTTGAACGACCCCTCCCTCTTCATTAGATGACCGTGAATACCTTTAAGAAAAGGAGACAAAAGGAATTCAGCATTGTTTTGGCATGACACACATATTTCTAGAACCGTTGAATCTCTTTTTCTCATGAAAGATTGTTCTATAGCAACTCAAACCCTCATTCAACCCTTTGAATGCACCCCTGATAGTTTTAGCAACCACTGGGTAAAACCTAATTTCTTTTCATCAGTATGTTATCATATATAGCATGTAATGCTTTTTAACTAAACTATATCATTCTAAGTGTATTATGCATACATTTGTTAAACATAGTTATGCAGTAGCCAGCCAGTATATATTTCATTGTTAGACATGAAGGTGCTTTTCTCTGTGTGTTATCTTTCTCTGCTTTGAGCTTTTATATACCAACACGAATATTAATGTATCCATTTTTGCAAACTCAGATCACATGACCGCGACATGCATTAATCATTGGATATTGAAATTTGTGTATCACCTTACAGCAATTGCTCAAAAATAGCAGGCAGTGCATAACCAAACGGGAGATACCCAAAGCTTTTTTTCACTAAGAGTGATCGGATTGCCTCAGTTTCTTTAGAATCAGCATCGAAAAAATCATGGTGGACAATATATGCCCAGTTGTGGGTCGAATTAGGCCACTCGAAAAAAATTAAGAACGCATGGCCAGATTGCGTTCAAAGCACCAAAACATTCCAAATTACACTCAAAAGGGTTGCATTCCCACCACCTTTGATCTTTTCAACCCTGATTCTGACGTTTTATAGACTGAGTAATGTCAGCAACAAATCTTTGAAATTTGTTGTAAAATTTTGTTTTTGTTAAGCCCATCATTATATACTGCCAAAAAAGTTTTCACATTGAAAGAATGACGGAACAACAATTGGTCTCTGAGACACCCTATCCTTAACATTAACATAAATTTGGGTCACAATTTACATGTCTATTCAATTAAGTTAACAGTGACTCTGCATTTGCTATCACAATTTATTGTGACTTTAGCTGATGCCTTGTCTGCAATACAATAAAACGTGTTTATTTTGTTGCATAATCTTTATCTAACAACTTCATTTTTTTGGAGGAAAGCGGTTTTAAATGTATTGTAGAATTCTAATAGTATTGTTTGAATATTCAGTTTTAATATAAGCAACCATGTTTGGAAAGAATGCGCATTCCATGAAAATAAAAAGTTTTGGCGAAAATAAAAAGAATGAAGGAGAAATATTTCAAGCACATGAATGAATGAAAGGGTTGTTGTTAGATTCGAAAGTCTGCCTTCTATATTTCTTCAAGCATTCTCGACAGACTTCGGAAGGGTTAGAAAAGGCAGGGCTGGAAGCAGAACCCGAACTCGATGCTTTACAAATAGTATTGCATTCTATTGAAAGTTAACACGGCTGCCAAGAGGGCTTGTTAGAAAACGACTTGCATACGAAGTACAGGCTTGGCCACTCAGTAAGAATAAAACTGCTAGAAGTGCTCTGGGTGCCTTAGTAGTATGATTAAGTGTGGTAAAGCCAAGCATATAACGTACATCAAGTAATCGAAGATAAAGTTGAAACAGTTCCTCCACGAGATTTCATAACAGCGGAGTACCTTTAGGCGCACATGTTTGTTGAAGTGCAAGTATCTAAGGAAAAAGAATCGTGCCTATAGAAAATTTATAAAGAACGGTCAACCAAGTGACAGGCTAGAAGGAATGCAACAAATGATATCCGAAGATTCAAAGTTGATTGAGGATGCCAAACACAATTTCTTCCTTAGAGCAAAAACACCTTAGCCAACCCTGGGACTTCTAGTAAAACATATTGGTCTTTAATCAACACTGTCCTAAACAAAGCTAAGATTCCAATAATACCACCTCTTTTGGAAAATGGTTTCTTTATAACGGATTTTACTAAAAAGGCACAGTTATTCAAGGATTATTTCCTTCTCCAGTGTACGACGATTGATACAGATAGCGTAATTCCACTAAATGTTCCAACTCCTTCTTCTTTCATAAGCGAGTTTCTTATATCTGAGGAGAAGATTCTTAACATTATAAGGTCTCTAAATCCCAATAAAGCTCATGGTTGGAATGTAATATCTGTCAGAATAATAAATTTAAGCGATGCTGCACTAGTTACTCCTTTAAAAATTATATTTGAAATTTGCTTGAGGCGAGGTGTATTTCCCGAAACATGGAAATATGCAAATGTAGTGCCAGTTCACAAGAAAAACGAGAAAAATCTTAAAGGAAATTATCGACCAATATCTCTCCTTCCCATTTTTGGAAAAAATCTTGAAAAACTCATGTACGATCCTTTATATTCTCACCTGGTTTCATGCAAGTTACTCAATCCGAATCAATCAGGTTTTCGTCCCGGTGATTCAACGATTACCCAATTGATCTCAATCACCCATACCATCTTTAAAGCCTTTGATTGTAATCCTCCACTTGATGTTAGCTCTGTGTTTCTCGATATCTCTAAGGCATTCGATAGGGTATGGCACGATGGCCTTATTTATATGCTAAAACGTTGTGGCGTCACTGGACACTTCCTTCTGCTTATTGAAAGTTTTCTGAAGAATAGAAAACAACGAACTGTTCTAAATGAACAGAATTCTCTCTGGGGAGATGTTTCGGCAGGAGTACCCCAGGGTTCTATACTGGGACCCCTGCTCTTCCTTGTTTATATCAATGATCTAGCTGCTGGTGTGAAGTGTAATATCAAGCTTTTTGCTGATGATACTTCGTTGTTCACCGTTGTGGAGGATCAAACTCAGCTGCCAATGACATGAACCATGATCTTGAATTGATAAGTCAATGGGCCTACGATTGGAAAATGTCCTTCAACCCCGATCCACAGAAACAAGCTGTTGAAGTAACATTTTCGACGAAACGAATTGATATCAACTATCTAGAGATTCGTTTTAACAACATACCGGTGAGAGAAGTTGATGAACATAAACATCTAGGTATTATTTTGGATTCAAAGCTTTCTTTTTCGCCTCATATCAAAGCAGCGATCTCTAAAGCAAGAAAGGGTATCGGTCTTCTGAAACATCTCTCCAAATTCCTTCCCAGACATACCCTAAACGAACTATTCAATTTGTGGGACCTCACCTTGAATACGGAGATGTGATCTATCATATTCCAGCCAAAGCATGTGAATTCAGCGGTAACTTTATTTTGTCAAGTTTGATGGAAAAGCTTGAGTCCGTTCAGTACTCAGCTGCTCTAGCGATCACAGGAGCATGGAGGGGGACATCGCGAACAAAGATATACGCCGAGCTTGGTCGGGAATCGTTAAGTTCCCGACGCTGGAGTAGACGCATTACGTTGTTTTACAAAATGATGAATAATCAAACACCTGCATATCTAATGGGTCCAATTCCCATACTTCAACAGTCGCATTACCCAAATCGCAATCGTGATGTCATTGGACGAATAAGAGCAGGAACAGAAAAGTTCAAGTCTAGTTTCTATCCCGATTGCCTGGCTGAATGGAATGAACTAGATCAGGAGATTAGACTTGCACCATCGGTTACTTCTTTTAAAAAAAGTTGATCTCTAAAATCCGTCCTTCTACTAGCTCTGTTTTTGGGATTCATGACTCAATAGGTTTATCCTATCTCACTCAAATTAGAGTGGGTCTTAGCAAATTAAGCTTTCATAAATTCAACCACAATTTTAGGGATTCTATAAACCCAATGTGCCCTAACAATGATGGTATCGAGACTACGGAACACTTTTTGTCGCTCTGCCCCGCCTTTGAAATTGAACGACGAAATCTTCTCGCTAGATTCTTTGAATTAGTACAATCATTAGGATAAAACGATCTTTCAAATGAGGTTTTGATAGAACTTTTATTATATGGCGATAAAGACCTCCCAAATGACCTTAACAAAAATATAATCGAGTTAAAGTGCCTATGAAATGAAATTTGACAAATTAAGATAAAGGCAAATTTAGATATAAGCAAAATTTGCTGATTTCAATGATATATGTTGAGGTGATTTTTTTCTTGCACAACCGTCTAAAAATTTAGGTTGAATATCCCATTTTCACGTTTTCGACTGTGACAAAGCGCCGCTATCTGTGACGTCACAAAGTTTGCAAACACGGAAGCAGTTGACGTTTAGTACACGGAGGGCGTTAATTGAACTACCGCTAAAATAGTCGTAGGGGCAATTTTAAGTCCGGGTAAATACCCAATCTTTTTAGCGCATCAAACTGTCCTTCTTTGCAAAGTTTCATGCTGTTGTACCAAAGTACGACTGAAATACGATAAGACCGTCTATTAAGATCTTGGGCGGTGTACCCCAGTTTAAAAATAGAACAAGGGGGCAATTTTCAGATGGAGTCTTTATCCTATCATTTTCTGCGTATCAGATTGCCGTCTATTACAATGTTTCTTGCTACTGTACCTACTTTCGGCAGAGATGTCAAAATAACGTCGTTAGTGGAGTAATGCGGTAAAATAGCCTAGTCTAAAATTAGCCCAAGGGGGCAATTTTCTGTCGGGTTCTTTATCGTATCTTTTTTAGCGTATCAAACTGTCCTATTTTGCAAAGTGCTGTAGTACTAAAGTACGATTGAGATGCAATCCAACCGTCTTCATAGATATGGAGCAAAGAACACCAGTCTAAGAATAGAAAAGGGGGCAATTTTCAATTTTTTTCTATATCCTATCTTTTGTACCGTATCAAAATGCCCCACGTTGTAAAGTTTCGTTCTACTATACCTACTGGCCTGATTCAGTCTACGGCCTGATTCAGTTACCAGCAGAGAACTGAAAATACTTGAAGGCAGCATTGTAAACAGCCTGGAGATTATTTTCAAATGAAGTTTCCAGCAAAGTGTATTTCCAAGATGCTGGAAGATTAGACGGATTAAGTCTTCTTTCAAGAAAGGAAAGAAACAAGATAGAACAAATTACAGGCCTCTCTTAATGTTGTCCATCCTATCTAAGCTACTAGAGAGTCAGAGCTGGAACACTGTCGATAGCCATTTAGAGACGATAACAACATTGTGACTTACATGCAGTGGGGATTCGCCAAAGAAAAATCTACGAAGGGTATCCTCTTAAAATTGACAGAGACATGGAAACAATCAGTTGACAACGGTTTGATTTGTAGACTTCCAAAAAGCTTTCGATACGGTTTGCCATGAA